AATAGAATAACCAATCAGCTTATATTTTATAACTTTCTCCTTTCCAAAAAAAACTAGTGGGTTTAACTTGGAGTTTTTGGTTATATTATCTCTGATTCTTTTGAATACATGAGTATAATTGTAAATAGTATATTTTTTAAATACCTTACTTGTTTATGTGATGTGATTATCTTGAGATCATTTTAGTCTAGGCTTTAATTGCTCTGTTTTGTTAATTACATTTTTAGGAGACAGATAAGTATTTTTAAACAAAATCACTGTCAAAACAACTATCACTGAAGTTCTACAAAACAGAGCAAGTTTTGTAGAACTTCAGTGATAGTTGTTTTGACAGTGATTTTGTTTAAAAATACTTATCTGTCTCCTAAAAATGTAATTAACAAAATTTTTATCCTAAAATAAATTAGCCAATAACCGTAAAAGTGTAAGAAGTTGAGAGGCATTCGGCCAGTAATGAGATATCATATAATATGCAAAATACAACCATGAGAACAAATAAAAATTAAATAATGAGTCTTAAAATATTAAAGTAGAGCAAAGCGGTTCACATTGACCCAGTGACCATAAGACTAGACATTGACCAGTTTGGTTTGGATCATTCGAGAACGGACGCGATGTTGAAGACAGAGTTAATTCTTGATTATGTGTGTTCAGGTTTTTTATTGGCATTGTCTTAGATATCATCACGTAAGTTTAAATTTACTTAGTTATTATACTTTCTGTATTTCACCCATTTGGTGTAGAGACTGCATTAACCTAAAACGCAGTACCCTTTAGAACATGTTTAATATATTTTATTTTAGTTTATGTTCAGTAGAGTAGTGAATGTGTCCGACAATTTTTATAAATATGTTTACGATGTAATCGACATTAAATGTTCCTATTTTAAGTGTAGTTTCTGTTAGTATTTGTAGTATGTATACTAAATAGTCATAATAGAGGTATGAAACTTTAGAAGTGTAGATATCTGTTTGTGGACTATATAAAAATATCAAGTAATATTATACATCACTTATTTAAAAATTATTCATCTGGTCATCAATAACAATTTGGTTTTGTATTATTTTATAACAACGGCCAATAGAATATCAACGGTATTTTTCCATTTAATTATACATTATGTTAAAATAAAATTTAATGAAGAACCAAATCATAACTGTTAAGGTGAACCGGATTCCGTGGGTTTACGCAACGCAACGAGCATCTTGTCCGACGAATTGTATCGCGAACTATCAGGTGCAACAATTTCAAGAGTAAAGTGTCAAGGGTGCCGATTATCACATTAGGATGAACTTATTATAAGCGCATGAATAGTCTAATTAAGTAAGAAGTAACGAGCATATAGAATATTTACAGATGTTGTTTACAAAATAAATATATTTTATAACTGGCAGTAAAACCTTCTTATTTTAAGTAAAAACAAATACTGTAAATTGCTAAAATGATAAAAATGAATGGAAATGCTTTATTTACAGGAATTTGTTGTTTTTTATCCCATTATAGTGTCTTAGAAAAGATCGTAAAAGTATAGATTAAAATACAATACCTACAAATCTTAATAAATTATGCATGGGACCGAAATATGAGTTCATAAAAATAACATCGAATTCTGAATACATTTATTTTTCCAAATTGATTAATTGACATTGTACGCCTGTACTTGCATTTTTACAACTATCTCCCAATCTGCGTGCCCTTGACCCGATCGAATTTAAGCCGATTTAAGTAATACTATCATCGATCAGTATTTACAAAATGTGACTTTAAAAAATAAGAAATAACGAGTACTTTAATTGCATCATCATCCAACAATCCTTGATTTATTGCACACTGCCTACTCTTATTCTTGCACCATACTATTATACATGTTCCTATTTTGCTAGAAGTAAAATACGTGTATATAATAATTAATATTTATTTTTTTATAACTTATAGTGAATAAATATAAAATAGAAAACAATATTTATACATGTATAGATTAGAAAGTGCAGAAACAGAACGTGCCCTACTGTTTGTAATAAGCAATGGCTTTTAGGGAGCATAATTTTATTGCATTAACATAGAATTTTAGAGCATATATAAAAAAATATTGTAAATGAATATAAGTAAAAATATTTAGACAACTTAATTTAGGTAATAAAAAAAAAATCTAATATTTTCGCATTGTCTAAAATCAAACAATAATTATTCAATATTATCTAAGAAATAGTCCCAATAAATTAAAAGATGATGTTACTAACTAAATTAATCTGAGAGATATTAGAATGAACCACTAAACCGTTAGCACTGACAGTGATGGTTTGAACCGTAAAGTGTCAGTACTGATATTTTTTATAATGCAACTTTATTTTCTTGCAAACTGTACGTGACGAGAGATTGAATAGCAATCTCACCTGCACAAGATGCGTGCGATTGCGAAACACACGGAAATATTTCCTGCTCAGCGGAGCGGCGCTTGGCATTGACATACTTAATCACCTGTTCAGCAATAGAAGACAGTGAATTCATTATAGTATAATTAAATAAAACATGCAAAAGTAAATACGAAGACTAAGGGGAAAGGTATTGGTATTTGTTAGTAATATCATATTATATTATCTGTGGTAATATGGACTAACGATTTCATAGAATTGTTAATAGAGTTTTGTCATTCTTCACGATGTACCGCCAGCGTATACCGTAAGTATTACAGGAAACACTATTCTATTATAACCTATTAAAAAAATAGGTTTGCACACATCATAGAACGCGAAGTTGCAAACTAAGCAAAACTTGGACTTTGGCTGCCCTATTACTAATAGGTTATGCTATGCTGCTTACTAAAATCTAAGTAATGCAGAAAACACTAGAAACCAATACATATGAAACATGATATACTTTAAACATTGATATATTGATATACTAATTCCTGGGGTCAGTAGTTAAAATGTTTGACGTTCTCATACTTTTTCAAAACACGTTGATACTTCTCAAAATAATAATCTGCGGAACTCAAGATGATACAATACATTCGTGTATATGCAAATAAAAAAATAATAATATGAAAGTTGTTTCTACAAACAAAACTTGACAATGTTCGCCCACGGTAACTTTCGGCATTGTCCGTTACTTTCTATACACACGACATTGCGCGACAAATTTATAAAAAAAAATTATTACCGTTCGAGGTCGCTAATGGGCAAATCCGACAGGTTCTTTATAAGTAGCTATACATCTTTTCAAGTGTCATTTAAGTTCAAGAGCACTAGAGGTCGTTGCACCTTTTTTCTTTTGTTAACTCGTATATAATTGCGTAGTTATATATACTTACATTTTTTTCAAAATTTGTCTAAGTTGTTAATCGCAAATTGAATTGTTTAATATATTGTTTTACAATTGTTTAATATATAACAATATATCATCATGACAATATTATTTAACTATTAGCATTATCTAGTATGAATATTGATGCAAGTATAAATAGATACCTAATAGTCATTTCTTAGTAATTTCTGCATATAAGTTAATTTTTATATAATGGGACAATCTTTTTGAATAATATAATGTAATTAACAGTTTTTTGCATTAATATTCATAAATAAATCATAAAATAATAATAAATTACATTAGATTTCAAGTAAGTATTACTAAAATTAAAAAAATTTAGCCTTTTGCTAGTAATCAAATTATATTAACTCAAGAATAACATGATAGCACACACCTACTTACTTACATCTAGAAATGGGTCAAACACTAACAGCCGGTACATTAAAATAAAAATGATTACTAAATAACTAAGATTGACTTATCTGTATAGATAAGTCAATCTTAGTTATTTAGTAAGTTTATGTATATAAACCGCCTCTATATTCCAGGTACGCTACGTCACAATTTATCCTATAGTACAAACTGAGAATGTATTACCACATCATAGTACTTTATTGCGCAGCTCTGCATAACAATTTTACTTAAATGAACCTATAAAAATACTATTATTGCAAATTAATAATTAATTTCAAATCTTGCAATGTTATGGGTATTAACTGCACGCTTCCCCTTACAGGGTTAGTAGAGCATAATCATGATAGATCAATCTAAGCCTTAATGTATAGTACCTGCATCCTTTCACTTTCGCATTGTCCCGTCATCCTTTTATCCATTATAAAAAATAATGGGTAAAAGGATGACGGGACATGTAATTAAGTATAATTAAGCTTTCTCTCGAGTAAGACATTTCGTTGCGATTTTTATCCCAGATCGAGTACTATTTATATTTTACTATAGCAATAGTAAAGAGGCATTGTAAATTTATCTACATCATGGTGAATGCAGTACTTGACATGCTGATATTTTGCAGGGTATATTCGAATCTAACGTGGCAGATGGTGACCTTACTGCTCTCTCTAGTTACATTTTGGTTTGATATCGGTGTTTTATTTAATAGAGAGTCAGAAAAATACACAAAGTTTTTTTCTGGTGTAGGCCATATTTGAACTTACAACCTCTTGAATGTAATTCAGAGCCACTAGGTCACAACGCTCTCATATACTATATAAACTACAGAGCTGTCTCAGTTACTCTAGCGTTTTTACAAGTATTATGGTAAAAAATAATAGATAGTAATTCTAAAGTTGCAATCAAACTGACACTTAAAATTTTATGTATAGAGAATCTCTTAGTGACTTTCTCAGAATCAAATTAATTTTATTGGTTTCTTAATTGATTTTTCGTTAGTATACATTCAGCACTTGTACGTAGAAAACAATAAAAAGTTTTACGACTTATTCTCTTTAGTTTAGAGCTAGTGATGGTTGGTCTTTTATACGTTATCTATCCTTATTCTATTATATTATATAAGTTGGATATGAGAATATTTCTATGGAATATTCTATTATAGGCGGAAACTTTTCTTTTTTTAAATCTCTTATCTATGCTGTTACTTATCTCAAAAATAGCAGACACAAATAGCGTAAACAGCTAATGTTAAATATATTTAACACTAGATTAAAATTTTGTTTCAGGTTTAGAAGACGCAGTCAAATTAGTAAAAGGTATCGGAGGGAACTGCTATGGTTACGTAGTAGATCTCGCCAACAGAGAAGACATTTACAGGGTCGCTAAGAAGGTCGAGGAAGAGGTGGGCAGGGTAAGTTACATTTCCATTACATTTTATTATTGATATAAATATTTTTGATCAGCCCCTATTGCTAATTTTCGGCTTTAATGTTGAAATAAATATGACTGAAAATGGGTGTTTCGAGAAGGTTTCATAAGAATGGTAAACGGTTACCTAGAATTGTAAGCCTACATAGTTATATTCAGCTGAACATACAATGTAGGTAGACACATTTATATCATATTCAATAATTATACCATAAAATACCTTGATATTGCTTACACAGATAGATATTTATATTGATATTATAGTTTATGTTCAACAGCGATTTATCGTAATTAGGTGTGTAATAATTGTTTACTGTGAATTTTAACGGCAAAATTCTGATAGTCATTTTTATGGACATTTTTATTAGAGAATATTAATAAATTGGATGAATTTATATATTATATAGTATATTCTCTTATTTCATTTTAAATAAATTATAGGAAACTTTTAGCTATTTAAATTTACTAGAACATAGGTAGGCCGTCTGGATAAATTACTACATTTAGTCTACGCTGTAGTCACTAGATATATAATATCATAAGTGGTCTTATGCATTGAAATGCAAATCGCCATTCACATTTTTATTCTATAGATTATTTTCGCATTATTTTTTCAATCAACATCATAAAAATTGTTTAGTCTCTACTGGATTTTGTATTACATTTTGTGATATTGTTGAATTTTTTTCTGAACTTATATTCATATCTACCAAATTGAACCAAATTTTATCCAGTGTTGATATAAATATTGACATTATTATAATAATTGAAATAAAAGTATTAGATAATCATCAATAACTAGCACTTGAAATGAAATATAAGTTCTAGTTATTAATGATTGTCGTAAATTCAAATTCACTTTGACCATTGGTAAAAAGAAAACAGTATAAACATTAATTTGTTTTTTTAATACTAGTATCTCTAAAAATTTAATTATGTACATATTGTTATGAATTAATAATAATTTATGTTTTACTGTTATTTCAGGTGACATTATTAATAAACAATGCGGGCGTGGTGTCAGGACAGTATCTGCTCGACACTCCAGACCATCTCATACAGAGGACCTTCGATGTCAATGTACTCGCTCACTTTTGGGTAAGTCTATGCAATTAAATTTATATTAACTTAAATTTATTCTAACTTAACTGAGAGACGTTCTTCGCTCTTTGTTATGTATATTAAATCCGAACTGTTATAAAAGCGCGAAGTTAAAACAAACGCTTTCTGAAATTTTCCAATTATCTACAGAATTTTATAATTTTTCGTTCCATAAGAAAATGAATGTAATTGTTTAAGTTATACTCAGGTAATAACGTGACAAAGAAAAAGGGGTTTCATTTTTGTATACTTGTATGAACCTAGTCTCCTATAATACAGTTGTAATGAGAATTGTAAAGCTATAAGAATTTGCAATCCAACTTGCGCTACTTAACAACTGTAAAAAATATAAGAAACCTTTTTTCTTTGGTAAGAACCGCTAGTCACGTGTATAATCTCTGTTTTAAATTGAGCTTTCTTGAGCGAATGGCGGGTCTTGTGGTTTTACGATAGTTGCCGAGGATTGTCTATGATGATTGGCCATTCAGGGTCTTGTTATATGTATCATTTTTTCGATATTTAGCTATGAGTGATTATTCCATACTAACTGATGTGTGATCATTTTCTATAAAGGTTCCATAACGTTATTGCCGATATATAAACTATTTTCAATCAGCAAAGAAAGGAGGTAATCAATTATATTATAATTTTTATCATGTTTGTTATCTCGAATCGAAAAAGGCTATTTGTGCTCCTTTAAATTCTAAATAAATTACTTTATAAAATATTCCTAAGCAACAAACATGTTCAAAAAAATATTTTGATTTAAAAACCAATTTTCATGAAATTTCATTACTTACTAATGACTAATCCGAACGAATCAAAATAATCCTTTGATTTCATAGTTTGGTTTTTATTTTGAATTAATAGCTATGGTTGTTAATTGTAATTAGGTATTTTTTAAGATAGGCATAACTTATATTTTATAGTAGCATAAAAACTTCCACAGTATCTGCCTAAACTATTCATAATTATTTAAAAATATAATTAGCACAAAGTACACTTTTTATGTTCAAAATAACGTGCAATTAACTATATATAAGCAAACATTTTTAATATTATATTTCGTTTCGGTCGTCGCCATTAGTGCATAATGCTGACAGTGACCTCCATATGAATGCTCGAAAAGTTTTTGTAATGATTTTTTAAGTAGCGCTCGCCTGTTGATAAATGAGAGTCATTAGGTTTTGTTCCGAGTAAATATTTCAAAGCTAAAATTTATAGGTAAACAAAAACACACCCATACTAATACATAAATGTGTAAATATGCATGTCTGTCTATCTGTCTACCTGTAGGCTGAAAGGATGTCATTGAAATGTGACATGTGACATGAATGATTTCTATAAAGGAGACGGACGTAGGCTATCTTTATCTTTATCTCAAAGAAAGTAGATGAAGATGCGAATAACTACTAGTTTTACTATAAATCTGTATAAAAATATCTAAATACTAGTTTTTGTCTGCGACTTCTCCTGATGATAGTTTCTTTTTACTCGAATTTGACTCTGTTGAAATTTGGGTACCTTGTAAACATCTTTTTAAAGGTTTATTGTATTTTTATCCATGAAAATACATATGTATATTATATTTGAGACACGTATTCGTATCTATATATGCATAGTATCTAAATTAAAACGGTTATGGTGACATTTACTAAAAGAAAAGAACAGTATAGAAACGTAAATGCTATACGAATATACATACTTATTTTATATATATAAACGATGTTTATGTAAAGACACTACCCGATGACATTTATTATTTAAAAGCCTGGATTTACTTCTAATATTGTACCTGCCTACCTATTATTATAATTAAGTGCGCTTCTCTGCGGTGCTATTATCATAATAGTCAAGTTGTTACTTACATTACCTACTAATTATTGGCTTTGACAATAAAAATACATAGAGTAATATCATTTAGTCAGGTCTACAGTTTCCTACAGTTTTATTAAATGAATGATAATGGAATGGTGCTTCTGTCTGCGCTTATGGTATACGTTGGCGGGGCATCAATGGGGGATGATAAGATAAGCATGAGATCAGGGCAATTAGCCAATCATGGCAAATTCTCCAGGAATTTATCAAAATGGTTCAGGGAATCAGGTGGAGGTCGACCTAACATAGAACATTGCTAGCAATAGGGTTATAATGCACATTACTAACAATCCCTTTCTCATGTAACATAATAATAATAACCTATTATTAAGCTGCAATCATATATAGGCCTTAAATAATTTTTATAAACAATATGATCTAGTCTGTGCTACAAGTATGGTTCTCTGTAATCCCATTTAGACCTAGTGTTTCTACATGTGCAATTAATATAAGTATTATAACACTTTTTTCCAGACAGTGAAAGCGTTCTTGCCGACAATGATTGAACATAATGACGGTCATATAGTGACCATAGCGTCGATGGCGGGCTACATAGGTGTGTCCAAGTTAGTGGACTATTGTTCGTCCAAGGCTGCCGCTTGTGGATTTGACGAGTCACTGCGAATGGAGCTAAATTCGAGAGGCATTAAAGGCATTCACACTTCGTTGATATGTCCATTCTTCATTAGGTCGACAGGAATGTTTGACGAAGTCAATGCGAGGTGAGAAAATTATTACATTTGCATAATAAATTCTATGCACTTAGTTCTTTAATAAAAAGTTTTTAAGATTTTAAAAATGTAAGTAGTAGTATTCTACGAAGAACATTTTTTTAAAATAAATTATGAACTATTTATCATAGTCAATGTTTATTATTCAAAGAATAAATATATCTATAATTTAGAAATATCCTTTGATGAGCAATGGCATTATACCTACTAGTTGTTATTGGTATAGTTAACGTAACTCGAGTACCTAATTTTTTTCTTACTTACTTCGTAACAGATCTGGTACAAAAACAGATCTACAGGTAGATAGATGCTCCATCTTTTCGACTACAAATCAATTAGTTAGGGTGAACTTGCTACTTCATTTCTCATATACCTGTTTATTGTATTACTAAAGTTTGTAAGGTTTAAATTTTACAACCAAATATCTATTTATAATTCTGAAATACTATCACCCATTTACAACAATGTATAAAATTTAGACAGTAGGTACTGATTAAAACCAACCAACTGTAGACTTTTTAAGTCACAGTCATAAATATCTAGGTCACGAATGCATAATGCATAGTGATTTATTTAATTACAAAGAGATCAGAGATCGCTACATACAATTTTGAGATTTGCCGTTATGAATTTATGAATAAGTACTTCACATGCATATACAAAACTATGTCATAAATAAATAATGCATTCTTTAATATTAATGTGCTTTCACATCCGTGACAATTAGACAACATGTGTCTGCGTGTACAGGTGAAGCATAGGATTTTACAATCATTCCACATCCCAATTATAAAAAAATTACTAATGATATAATACAGTAAGTAAACTATGAAGACCATGCAATTAGAAGTAATTTCCTAATTTTCTTTTGTTTATAATTACTTTATAATGGTCGCAGGTTCGATAATTTAATTAATTTATATGATTTTTGATGTTGGTTTCTACAAACCATTATGTTGTAATTTGTTAAATTATAATTCAATCCTAAATAATAATAATTTACATATACTACTTTCATAAATAACTAAAAATTAAAAACCTTATTTGTTAAATAAATACATATATTATGTATTTATTTCCTCCATCACATGATGAGCTTAGTTCGAATTAGGCTTGGGGTTATTTTTTATTTTAGTTTATTATCAAACTTAGAAATATTGGTTCACGTAAGTTTGTTTTATTATCAAACTTAGAAATATTGGTTCACGTAAAAGCATATTTTTTTTTTAATATAACATTTATTTCTTATCTACAGATTAGTTCCTCAGCTCAACTCAAATGATGTAGCTGATCGCGTAGTGCTGGCCATCAGAACAAATGAAGCTGTCGCCCTCATACCAGGATTCTTTAGAGTACTACTACCCTTCAGATGGTAATAAAAATTAATATCACTTTAATATTAATTAACAATACTTACATACGAACTCACGAATATGTACTTAATTAGACTTGGTTAACTGAATGAATTTTAATGTATTGTAATTTGGCAACATTATACACATTATACACCATACAAAAAACCAAATTAGTACAATATTATTTTTTGTGTTTATAAAATGGCACGTGAACTGACGTCTAACAAGTCTAACTAACCGTCCCTTAATTATTAATTAGTCCCTTACGACAGCACGATAAACATCCGTGGTATGCGCTGCCATTCTAGAGATCTACGATGTTCTTCCTACGTACCGCGTAATGTCCTAATGTCTATCTATCCTTCAACATAAACACAGCTTCACAAGCAAGTTGCTTAGAAGTTGCAATAAATGAGACAGGTGTATCCAGATATACGATTATGTACAATTATAGGTCTTTGTATACCGGAGAATGAAGTACATATCAATTGAGACACACATTTATTTTTATTGCTGTCATCCAGATCGAACTCACAATTTAGTATCTAATATGCGCAGCATGAAAAACCATTAGATCAGCAGGTCTCCTTTAGAGTCTAATCTCTAAATTATTTTAAATCCATTTATATACTATTTGAAAGGTAATCAAGAATGATTCGAATAAATAGATAAAAATAACAGTAAATATGGTATTATTATCTTACTAGTGTATAACTGACGACTGTAAAAGATGCTCTCTTCGATTTTATGTCATGGACGGTTATTTTTTGTTTCAGGATTGTTCCATGGAAGTGTTTAGGCGACTTCATCAAAGTGATCGTACCAGACGCAGCGCCACATTCTGCACAAAACTCCCCAACAACATTGCTTCCGTCGAACCCTTCTCCATTGCATACCAAACACGAATCGCGACCAATGTCGCTTGTTCCACCCGAGCGACACGACCGACAAGTTTGACGATTATAAAATACGTTAGGGGGTGATATGTCATCTAATATATGGGATCAAAGCAGGATAAAATCAATTTGTGAAGTTATTGATAGACTTTTAAAATTCTATAATCTCTTTTGAATTATCCAGAGATATTAGTTTTTCTTTCTCTCCTGTTTATATAGTTCCAAAATGTAGATATAGTCATTATTATATATTTGATAATGTAAATCCCCCTTTTAAGAGCTAGCATATAGTGATAACTTTATCGCCGTGAATATTTCGTCACCGCTATGAACTCTCAGGATATACAATTAAGTTTTGTGACATGCGTAACGATTACGAAATTATCACGGTGACAATACCACTTGTGCGTGCTATGGCTCTGAAACCTTGGTTGTTACAATAATTTAATACTAGTGTAAAATAGTAGATGCTCTATATCTAGTTATACCTGGCCGATAGGTGTAATCATGAGTGAGTTTAGAATATATTTTCATTGAATGGGAAATAGAGGAAAATAAAGTTTCTCAATGGTTACGGTTAGTTGTTTCAAATACAACACAAAGATAGCGTTGAGATTTATATTATTATTTTATATCTACTAATTCTATTTAGAATTAGAGATAATGATATTATTATTTTTAACTATATTTCTTATTATTATTTTTATACGGAAGACAATCGCTGCATACTTCTAATATAAAGAAGGCATAGAAATTTATTTTAAAAATATTAAAGTAGTAAATATATCCCAATAATAATAATATTAAAGTGTATGTACATGAACGATATAATATTTTATCATTACTTACAAAAGAAATTGTCAAGACTGCTGTTCTAGGCTAAATAGTGAGTAGTTCTAAGGTGTAATTTTATCTTCTACACCAGAACAATTGTTCTTAATAAACATTCGAATTTACATAAATTGTTTCCATAAAGTTTATTAATTACATACTAAATTTAGGTGCCGCACTGAAAGCGAGATGATAGCAAATATTGTGTTACGTTATTTATAGATGGAAGATGTATCGAAAATTTACTAAACTGTTATAAACGTCTCGAAACTTCTGTGGTCTATATATAATATTTGTAGCATTTTAAAGAGGCCTTAACATTTTTGTATTAGAATTCGAACTGTAACGAGAAAATGGTACATTTTACATTTAATCTCACTTTCTCATTTAAAAATATATTTAATAAACATTAAAGTGGATATTTACAATTAAATATAAATATGTACCGTAAGAAACCCATTATAATATGAACGTCGTATTAAGTAACCTATCGCTGTATTTCCCAGTTTTTTATACTACGTAGATGGCAAATAGGGATACGGCCCATCTGATGATAAACGATTACCGTAGCCATTTTAATTAACGATGATAATTCGATTCTAATTTCTTCATAATAGTCTAACGAGTTCGCATTCGAATTCGTTACATTATTAAGAAATACAAAGTCATATTCTTTAAGAAATAGAAATCAAATTTATCTGACAAATATATGAAAAAAATTGTAAATAAGACTGGAAAACCTAAAAGTTAATCGTGACTTATATGAACATAATGTAATAACATTTGAGGGCTTCAACCGCAATGTTAAATAGTGAAATATAATAATAATAATAGAAAATAAGTGAATAATTACATTGAAATTAATTTTGATACTGTTTTTTTACGATAGGTTTTGCTCTTGTTATAATATTTCCAAAGTTATATATGTTACGGTGGGTGCTTCATTTCCTAAAGAAACCAAATCTTAAATATACCTAATGACTATTCAAAAAATGACAAATAAATATGTAGTACGAACCTACTTAAGGTTTGTACAATTGATAAGTACGTGCCTACTAACGATACGATTGTCTTCATTCTTAGCGGAAGCTGATGTGCTATCTACCGATACAAGTATAATATATGTAGGTATATTGATGTCGACCAAAAGAACACTTCAAGTTTTTTCTCCACTATTCCTCTATTATTGTTTAGTCTAAACGAAAAGATATATAAGATTGTTATAAGACCATTCTTTATTGCTCAACTAAATTATCTTATTCCACATATGGTAGCTAGGTATATAATTGTTTTGTTGTAAATATTACAGATCTGAATATTTTTTAAAAAGGAATGTTTTAGTTTATTCTGTATCTAACATTGTGGAATTGTGATAAGAATTGTATATAATAGATACATAGTTATAGTTAGAATAGTAAGAAATAATAACGTTTCTAATCTGATTATTACGTAAAAGGTTGGTTGGTAACGGTAATGGTTTTGTATGTTTGCAATAATTAGGCATATCAATATCATAGTACAAAACATGATTTTGAATGAGGGGATGTCCCTAATTACGTCACACAGATTACATGATTTTTGACCACTTCCAACCTCATTGTCAAAGCTGATCACATTTGTTATACTCCCCATATTAGGGAGATGGACGTCACATATCTTGCAATTTTATTCTATGTATGTATATATTTATATACTTTGTTAATAGTTCAAATTTCGTTTTAATAGTTAGTAATATTCGATTTTGAAATGTCACGTCACGAAATCTAGAATTTAGAACCTTGCCACACTATGTCACATTTTATCGAGCCCTTTCCCTCTTCTGCTTAAAATGTTACTAAATTTATGGATGACCCCTAAGCAAAAAGTCGTGACACTAGCAATACCCAATGCTCATGTTAACATTAAATCGATCCCAACAGCGAATACATAGTTTGTACAATGGTGTAAGCAAAATTTTAATCTACGGGCAATTGCTATTTTACTTTAGGTAGGTACTACCACATAAAAGATTACATACGACTACGTTGGGATATACTTAATTTGTTTTTGTTGATACGCTAAGGGCCATCCAAAAATTGCGTCGCATAAATTTTAATAAGGTTTTTGACTCGTCCCTCATCCTTGTCACAGCTAGTCATATTTGCGAGACTCCTCCTTACTGTTATTTAAAATATTTTAAATATTTGCACCGAAAAATGATTCACTCAATACTTTTGAGTTAGTTTGGTTTTATATCCATTTAAAATAATTTTAGTAAAATGTAGATGTTCAAATCTTTCTCCTGCCACTTTTGACAAGTATCACCCTTCCCCTTCTCTTAAACTGCGACATAAATTTATGGATGACCCCTAAGATGATGTTAAAATTCGTATTTTATAAATTTTATCGATATATGAGACTTTGTTAGTTATTATAACTTTTTGTATTACGTTTTGAAAGTTGCCTTTGATACATTATTCATATGTAATTATTATTGGACTTTATCATATGCAGATTAATATTTAACTTTCTGTTGAATAGTTTGTCACAAAGAAGAATGTAGGTGGTACCTGAGTATTTAGAATTAGTATAATACTGTATATTAATTTAATTTCTGGTATTTCCATATAGTGCAGTTTGATAAAGCATTTATAAATAAAATAACTGAAAAATAAATCACCCACATTTTATGTATGCAATAAAAACAAGCCATACTTAAAATTGTTTCATTTATTCACAAAAATTCACAGTAACGAGGTTGAACTTAAAATTGAAACTTACGAACACAGTCAACATAGAAAAAATAGAAAATCTTTATTCTTAAATCGTAAAATCGTCACGAGGCGGATACTGTTTGAATGTTTGTATACCTGTTTGTTAATTTTTCACGCAATATGTTATTAAATGTGTGGGAACAGTCATATTAAAGATATCTTAGAAAAATAGCCGCCAAAGGAGTAACTCTGTACTTATATTGTTCTTATTTATATGGAATACGCCATCTACTATTGTTAATTAATTTATATTATTGAAATTAAAGATGGCGTTTATATATTTGTACATTTATACAAATCATTTTACTCAGTTAAGTAGCATTTTTGTATCTTGTCAATTTCAGGACTTACTTATTTTTAACAGATTTAGGCTACTCTTATAACTCTTATAAGAAAATAACGTTCATTCACATTTTCATAATCCATAGTTGCATATTTTTGTCATAAATAATGTAATTTCACTCGTTTTGCTATAGTAATAGAAATTAAAATCACTGTTAGAATATTGTTTTTAAATGGACTCAGTAAGTATGTGACATTATCAAAAGATGTTATTTTTATTAAAGCTGATACTAAGGCTCGACTATTAAAATCTTATTCATATCTAAATGACTATTCAAATTTATCTCTAGGAAATTCATCAGGTAACTTGAATTCCGATATCGGAGACTTATAAATAGGATTTATTTGGTTATCTCCAAATTTACTATCTTCCACTTCCTTTAAAAACTTGGCGTATGCCCGTTTATCAGAAATTACTTGGCCTATTTTGTAGCACAAGATCATTATAAAACCAAATATGAGTATACATATTACGACGGACAGACCCACATTCATAAACCTCGCCGTAGTCACCTCAGTACATTGAGTATCATGTATGACGAGTACTATTGTAGATAAGTCATTATTAGTCATCGTGTAAGTGTATTTGTAATCGCATCTATCATTAAAGCGTTTCCAGCAGACAACAGCATTATCTAAAAATTCAGAAAAAAAAGACACATTACTTATTCATATATATGGTAAAGTACGTATACTAGATCATATATAAATATTGTACAAAATATATTAATTACTAATGAGGTTTTAGGAAATTAACATTCGGTCTTGAGCAATTCCTCACATTCATCTTTTCAAACTTGCCGAAAACTATTTTATATTATATTTATTTTAGCCTGAACTAGACAGCATTTCTTGACATTGCACACATATTTTATAAAATATTTTGCAAAAGTTGTAGGTGTAGTACCTAAAATATGTGGCTATGAGTTTATACAAAAAAATATTCAAGTCATGCAATGTCAAGAAATGCTGAAATATTTCGTTTGTATCATATTCATGGAATTCAGTACAAAATTCGGTATCGGTTGGAGGGTTTTTTTTACTACTATAATACTGTTGGCCACAGCTGGCTTTTACGGATTCAGATGGCACTCCAAACCCGCGAAAGGACTTATGGATCGGCTGAAGGACAACTCTAGCCTGACGGACACTTTAGTCTGAGGGCACTCTTGGTAAAATAAAATAGTGTTTTATGTATTTAAAAAACACCCAACAACAGGCACCGCTACTGGATCGAACCTCGGCTCAGGCCATCGTAATTTCGATTCCCGTTTGAACTGGATGGGGGATCGATCGGAGGGGTCGATTGGATGGTGAGAAATAAGAAGTGAAATTACTTTATCCTCCGGAATGATGAATGTCATATAACAAACTGATGCTGTTGTGCGGTTTTTGTATATAGACAACGGTTACCCATGTGATGTTAAGGGGTAACCGTCGTCTCGTCATAACTCTACATAACTCAGCCAATTTAAAAAAGAATCCACATAGTTAACTCCACCAAACATGAAACCAAAAATTCACGCACCTATATCTAGATTTGTCTACCCAAATGATAAAGCAAGGTAGACCTTATTTAGTGGCAAGTACCGCTGCTGTATGACTGTAAAATGATTTTTGCTGTTTTTTTAATATGATTTCTTAGCCATTCGCCTATCCAGATGGAAGTACATGTAGTAAATGTATATTATATTTGAAAAAAAACTAAGTGAACTAACTAAGAATGTACCTTATATAAAATGTAAGAAAATACATTTCATACTGACAAGTTTCTTTTCTAAACAGACTATAGATTATTAACCGCTATACCACAATATACCTAGTAAGATCATATCATTTATACAACTACGCTTTCAAGAAACCGCAAATGAGCTTAACCATTGTAATTAGCCTACATTTAGTGAAAAGTCGTTTTCTGCTAATAAAGTTAATAACTGTTACTACCATTTTTATATATCTGCTTCAAAAGTTTACGCCGTTTTCTTTTTATTGCCAACCAATGAGTAAAAATGAGCTAAAAATTCATTGCGTACCTAATAGAAAATATATGTTGTTTATTGTCTAATTATTGTAGACTAGTCTGGTAGAGTTTCATTTTTTTTTATAACACAGGGAAAAACGAGCATGCGGCTCACCTGATGGTAAGTGATTACCGCCGCCCATGAGCACCCTTTTAAAAAGGAATAAACTCTTTTCTTTCAATATCGTATCGGTTAGGAAATACCATTGCTGGAAGGTGATTCCACAATGTGGTTGTGCGTGGCAAAAAGTTTCTAGAAAACCGCACTGTGGAAGACCGCCATTCATCCAGATGATCAGGATGGTATTTCAGTTTCTGGCGGGTGGTACGGTGGTGAAACTCAGCAGCTGGTATTAATCCGAACAATTCCTCAGAACACTCCCCATGATATATGCGGTAGAAAATGCACAGAGATGCAATATCTTGCCGCCTGGGTCGAGTCTGTTACATAGACGTCGATTACCAATGATTCTGGCTGCTCGGTTCTGTATGCGGTCAAATGGAAGTAGCTGGTATTGTGGTGCTCCCGCCCAGAGATGAGAACAGTATTCCATATGCTGCCGGATCTGCGCCCCGCTGTGAAATACCGTCTCACTCTACTGAGCACACCAAGCTTTTTTAAGGCTATTTTAGCCTTGTCCTTCAAATGACCGCAAAACTAAACGTCACTGGATATATCAACGCCAAAGACCTCGAGATTTGGCTTCACATCAAGGAGAGTGTCTAGAAACTGAGGAGATACGATAAATGGATGCTTTTTAGCGGTAAACGCGCAATCTTGTGTCTTCATATGAAACATAATCAATACCAAACCGAATAAATCGTTATTGGATCGTAATTTGTTTCCAGATTCCCTCATACTAGACGTTAATGTCATTATTACTTCCCACTATCAATAAAATTCCAAGTATATTCTGCTGCACATTGAAATACAATTTATATTTCAAGAAGTAGCTCTTTACCTGTTCCATTAAAGTTCTCTACGCCATCATTCGTAACAATTTCACATGTAGGTTTGCAAGAGCCGTTTACGTAGCAAGACAAGCAGGGCTCTGCGTATGCGCACAGTGGATTCAGACACGATGGACACGACTCGCAGTATTCTCCCCTGTATATTGATATTCCATTTTTTTTCGAACATTTACATTTACCTGGAAATAATTTGTAATCCTATAACATTTTACCTATACCAAATATATTTTTTCATTATAATTAAACAAATGGTTTGAAGAATATGAAAGCCATCGGCGGCCGTCAAGTCGTATATAATTTATTACCCAGAATTTTCACTATCGTACAATGGGGTTCCTCAAGGGAAGATATTATGAATAAAATGCTACTCACTACTGTACATTTACTGTTAATTTTACTTAGTAGACTTTGTAAAAGTATTCCACAGTCTCACCTTCTTTAGCCGGCAAGCAGCTTGCTTTGTATGCTATATTCGGATACGACGACCTCGGTGGTCTAGCGGTCTAGCACACCGCTTTACGACCGATGGTCGCGGGTTCGATTCCTCGCACGGCACATACATTTGTATTCATGAATATGATTGTTTGTATCGGTCTGGGTGTTTTCTATGTATAATATGTATGTATTTACGAAAAAAAATTATCTATGTACTTGAATCAGTTATCTAGTACCCGTAACACAATCTTTAAATAGCTTAACTTGTGACTAGATGGCGCTATGTGAATTATCCTAAGATTATTATTATATTATTATTATTATTTTCGGTCAAAAGATGAGAATGAACAGGATACGAGGCATAACATCATCTTATTATAAAATTGAGGTGTTTGTAAACGATAATAAATGGTTTTGTAGAAAAAAAACTTGAAATTCATAGTGATGACAATATTATCAGATCGCACAAAGGTTGAGTGCGCAGCGGTTTGTATCTTGATTGTCGCATGCCTCGTACTTGTTGCTGTGTATTTATTTATATTAAATAACATCTACTCAAAAGAGCAACACGTAAGTTTCTTACTCGTTCTTCTTGAGTCTGCGTTCCGATGAGTGGTAGAATAACAAAAAATTTGGTTATTAAAAAGTTTTTATAATGAGTTTATTTAGATTATTTCTATACTGACCACATACGCATTCGCCGTTTCCAGAACACACTTTATCACTGTCAGCAGCGATGCAGGTCGCATTACTTTTAGTGCATTCGCACGTATCTCCGCTCCAATCCTTTTCACACTGACATTTGCCACAAACACATGTACCATGGTTTAGTCCCCCACACTCTAATTTATTGGACCTGAAAACGAACTCAGTAGTAAATGTAGTATCGAATTTCAGTTACAGGATAAGAGGCATTTTATGTTGATTTCTTAGTCCTGTGGAATAGTAACGCATGAGTGCTATCACGGATATCGTGATAACGTGATGTCTGTAGTTCTGTTCATGTATATAGGCGACGGTTTTCACTTAACATCAGGTGAGCGTTAGCTTGTTTGCCATTCCAATTACATGAAAAAAATTCACTCCTGAACTTTGAACATTAAACTGACATTAATAAGTATTAAATGTTTTAATCACATTATAAATAATATTATTTATAATGTGATTGTGTTAATTTATCAGTCATTTAAAATTAGGGTTCTTGTTGCTAAGTAACAGTGGTGAAAAACATATTGAATTATATTTACTGCTGTATATCTATCCACTGAATATCTCCATCACTGTCATAGCTATGCAAATATTAGTTACTTTACTAAATCATTACAACTACCTTTATAATACGGAATACATTGAAATCTAGGTAAATATTACTGCTCGCATATAATTGTGTTTGGACATGATAAATGTCTTAAGATTTTGTAATCATACACAATAAATCACTTAAATAATTACATCTATAGTAAATAATATTGTCATTACTTGTTACAGGTCTTGCATTGACAGAACTTTCCATTGAAACCAGTATCGCAGTGACATTGTCCGCAGTAGCAGTCCCCATTTCCGGAACATATTCTTGTGTCATTATTATTACGACACTGCGATAGGTCCAATGATGGCGAGTCATCCTCAGTTTTGCAGTTGCAATCAGTGCCCATCCTATGGTAGAAAGATACACGAATGTTGCAAGTATTACAGATACCTATTATGATTACATACCCCGCACATCTGTAGTCTTATTTCAAGACCGATTTCAAATAATAATATAAACTAATCGTATTTATAATCTATCGTTTTTTATAATTTTCTTTTTACAGAATTACCAAGATTAAATTGAATAAGCTGATACCAACGTCTATTAGTTTTTTCACTGATATTGAAACAGATATTTAATTTAATAAATATTTTTTTAAAAGTAGCAGTGTAACGACTTTGGATCGGAATTATTTCCCAGAGTAGTAGAAGTAGAGTAGAAAAAAAGATTATGAAAATTTACAACGATATATTTTATATTTTATTGCATAAGATTACTTTTATTTACAAAATTGGTATGAACAACAAAGTTTATAGTTTGTTGATGTCAAAAATAGATAGACTAAACTAAATCGCATAGGTTGATTATTTACTTATTTAGTTTAAAAAATAACTTACCATCCATTGTTGCACTGGCATACTCCGCAAATAGGCCGAGAATTTACCGGGCATGTATGTTTTTTTTTATCAGACTTACATTGACAACCACACTGAATTTCCACCTCCACAGACAAAGAATCCTGACCCAGTTGACTCTCGGTTATATTGATTGTATGGTTTGTCTGGAAATTATATTGCGAATTAACTGTATAAAATTTAACATAGTATAGCGAGATTACTTTTGTTTATTACCACTTTCAACGCATGGTGGAAATGTACTATACCCATAATGTATAGGAAACTGGCGTGATTAAACATGTTAAAATATATTCTTGTGCCTAAACTATACACAATATATTCGATATTAGAGATACCAACAGCGTAGATTTCATATATTTATTACTTACTGATACCCACCGTTACATACTCAGGACATGCTGTCAGTGAAATATGAGCTTCATAATTAAGTGTCCTGCCATAACTGACACCTTCGCATCGAGTAGTTTCTTTAAAAGGCGCTCCTGCCACTCCGCAGTCGGTAAAGTATTTGATTGTCAATGGTCCTAACTTTGAATTGTCTTCAAAGTCAACGACGCTCACAATGTCTTCATATCCCATTTTGACTAGCTTCAAAATATTCGAACTATCCTTCTCTAAAGTTGCGATATATGTAAAGTCTTCTAGTAATTTATGTAACTTATCATAATGTGTCTTTACGTCATCCGTAACAGCAAATATAACATTGACCTAGAAATAAAACAGTGTTATTTTTGTGCAATTTGGCCCGACAAATAAGCGGACGGTCTACCTGGTGGACATGTTTTAGGATATCCCATTACTATAAATTGATAAATAAGTATAAATAAGTATTCGTAGTTATATTCGTCCATAATTAATTTAAAGTATAAGTTTGTACTTTATTAAGATTTTATTGTCAAAAACTATAGTACTGTTATTACAGGCACAGGCATTATACAAAAGAATTTATATGCGTGTGTGTCAATTACGTGGTAATATGTAATATTATTTTATCTATGAAAATAATAAAAAAGCATTGCACACAGCAGCAATGCTTTTTTTATTAGATGTATTTTTATTCATAATTTAAAAAAACATAAACATTATGAACTTCTTGTCTATATAAAATATAAACTATAAGTGTGCGAAATTTCATCGACTCCTGCATATTTTTTGTAAAATAGAATGACTGTGTTAAAATTCTAATAATATCCATATAGCTCTTATACATATATTGTATGATGCATAGTTTTTGGTGCTCAAAAGTGACCATTAATTTGAAAATATTATACGTATTAATAATATAGATATTAAAGAGAGAGAGCATGAGAGCAAATAGAAGCCTACATTGTAGTAATAATTTATTAAAATCATCCGCTGTAATTTGCTTCCAAAACTGTGTTGTAGGTTATAGCACACATAATACTATGTTCTAGTTTAATGAATAAGTTATGGACGTGTTGGATTCCGCGGAATATAATACTTTAATCAATAGTGGCAAGATATAGGAGGTCCTGCACACAGGGTCTTAAATATTGGACTATAACTAGGTAAGCAAGTAGGTATAAAATATATGATTATGATTTTACATTGTGCACATCATAGGCTTAAAAATATATATCAATCATAATAATAAAATATAAAATATTATACATTATACATTATTTGTATTCTTTACCAGGTTTTAACACGAACTAATTTTATGGCAACATAAAACATTTAAAAATACGTATAGGTAAACCTAAGATTAATTTATACCATGGTGTTAATTTATACAATTTCTTTGTTTACACAGATGTATAAATTTTACTTTGCCTTATGCACACACTTGCCATTTTGAATATAATATCAGCTGCATATGTTTATTTAGCGAGTGGTAAGGCAAGTAACGTAGTATCAGTATATGATATTTACAGAAATTGTTTGAAAATTAAGCGTATTACATAAGAAAAATGAAGCTAAATTGTTTAAAGAAATCTAAAGTTGTGAAAATGATAAATTTGATATATTTTATTTTCCTACAATAATAATTTCGATTTCTGTTCAGCACTACGCGGGCAACATTTTTCGGTCAGGATTAGGATTTGTCAATATCAACACAAATAAATAAATAATTATTACGACTAGTGGCATTTCTAAAAGTACGTGATACGAATTTTGTAGTTCGTATCACGTACTTTTAGAAATTTATACACACTAACTAAACACTTTTCAGAGACCGCTAATTCTGTCATAAGTTGTATCTACATTACCTTATAAGTATCTAGCAGTTTATATATTTGTGCAATTGACGGATAATCGTAGTTGAGAGCCTCTGAATAGTAGCCGTTTTCATCTAGATGACACTGTTCGTCATTTCTCAAAACTGTGCCACCTAAAAATTTATACATAAATGCATTAAATTATTAAATTGCTATAAGTTAAGTTTCCTGCATAGTGCCCACCTATGTAAATACCTATTTACAAACAAGATAATTATTGTATAACTAGTACCATTTTTTTAATCATATCTACACGCTGCAACTTTTTTCATGCAATCGAAAAAGTTTAGTTTCATCTTTTTCTTTACTCGTACGACACAATACATAAAAGTCTGAATGAATCTTGATTAAAATCCAGGTCGTCAGGTACAAATATTTGTTAAGAACTACCATTGAAGGAGTTACAATTTCTACTAATATTGTCACTTCTAAAGTTGGGTTTCTATTTCTAGGACAAATTTCAAGTTATACCTACTCATATTCACCCTACTTGTTAGTATTTAAAAAAATTATATGTGCTGCGATAGACGTAGTCTTTATAAAGAACCTTCTAACTAGGCACATTTATCTACCCATTTCAGCTGCCAAGCACCTTGCTTTGTGTTTTAGTTAAATGTTTAATGAGACAAGATAGTAAAATTACAGGATAGAAGGCTTCTGCAAGATGATGTGGTTTTTATATATTTGGTATTTTATGTTGTTACGATCGGCCATGAGTCCAAGAAGGAAGTGTCACTCAGAACCGTTTTTAATACAGTCACAGTCACAGAAAACCCATCACACAAATACAAAGATTATACAGTTTAATTCGGATACCTTTACTATTACTTGACAGAGACATAATATCTTAGTCTTTTGGAATAGCAACGCATGAGTGTCACGTCACGTGATATCCGGGGTGCCATCAGCTGATTTGGCGTTCCATTTACATAAAAATAATATTGTTGTTACCAATAATATATCTATCATGATTATAGAAACATTCTATAGAAACCGATATTTAACATATTTTTAAACATAAAATTATGGCGGATCTTCTAACAATATTAGTATATTCATAATACAGATATTCACCTATTTTTCCATCACCGGCAGTATGCATCAGACCATCAGATAGTAAGATGACAATCTTACGACTCCGTTTAGCCCAGCCCATGGTTTCCAAACAAGTTATAACCTGAACCAGTGCCTCTAATTGTGCCTCAGCATTGTCCACATTCGCAGTCACTGAACTGCTGTTCAGTTTCTCAATAAATTCATGACCCTGAAAAAGAAACAAAAATATCGAAGAAATAACCGAGAAATAATAACTGAAATGATAGACATATGGAACTTTTTTTTATACTATCTTCGATCTCCAGTTCCTATAAAAATCGATTAATGTCACATCTAAATTCTATTACTTCAGTATATGAATATTTCATATAAACATTTTAAATATTAAAATATACTTATAATATTTTTTATGAAACTACAATGGCAAAGAAGCTGACGGCCCGCCTGATGGTAAGTGGTAACCGTCGTCTATATACAATTGACGAATACCGCGGACAAGTCAAAATGTGGTACCACAAATGTGTAGCCATTCCGGAGAAACAATATATCACGTCTTCCTATAACATACTGCTTTATTTCACCTAGCCTTCTAGGTGATTAATGAAACTAACTGAAATATAATAGATATTACAAATCAAATTGCTTAACAGCTGAAATAGGTGTAACAGAGACTTTGCATATAGACTACTTCGGTAATATTAATAATATAATAATAGTGTCTTCCCTGCTATATTAATATATACTAATAGTCTAAGAAAAGATATATTCGTATTAGGAGAGAAGTGGTTCATTAAATTGAATTTACCTGTGTAGTTAGCGATAAATGATGTTTAAAGCTATAAGTCGCCTCACAGCTCTCATCGGCTACGGTACAAGGGTTGTTTATTCGGTTTTCATCCATGTACGTAAACGGCATCGTAGGTTTGTCTGCAAAACTGCCGTATCCTACTCTGGGAGACAGGAATAAGTGATGAAATAAAGTTACAATAAGGCACAATTATCCAAGTTATCTTTCTTTAACGAATACGTCTTATTGAATCACAAAAAACCTTACTAAAATCAGTAGACTGGATTAGGTATATTGAATTTGGAGATATTGGTGTGAGATTAGATGTATATCATATATGACATAGTGTTATATAAGATTTTAATACATATATTTATGTACATATGCAGTAATCTCGTACCGATATTACAAGCTCGGCTTATGTTGACTCTAAATGGCAATTTATGTTGACTATTCACGTCCTAAGAAAGAGTCTAGTGCCTATAGCAGTTTTGTACAATGATAGCAAGTAATAAACAGCATAGCAAACTTACCTATAATTATCTGTTAAATTTTTTATCATTGCCAATAAGTCATCTCCTAATGAGACCAAGGTTTCTTTATCATCTTTCATGGACCATGTCAAATCCATCAAGTAGTACAAATCCAACGGGTAGTTCTTTGCCGGTCTGTATGAAAATTTTATTACTTTTGATTCTCCTGCAAAAATAATAATAAAGTTTACTATTAATGAATGCCTTACTGAAAAACTTTTCTTAACAACTATTATATACATATATGTAAACATATTCTGTCAATGTTTTTTATATTAATCGTTATTTTTATATTCGACAGTAGTCAGTGAAATAAATTCAATCATTCGGTGTCTTTTTGCTCTCGTTCCGTTATATTCGTCTTCGATCGCTCCTTTGAACTGAAATATATATTTATTATGACTCTAAATTTAATCAAAACCTACATTATGACGACTGCTTAAATTGAATCAAAATTATATTATTACAATACAAGAACTCAATGCAATAATTTATAGTTCAGCAAACGTAGTGAAATGCGAGTATCAAAACGGCTCTGGTTAAAATGAATCTGTTCCATATTGCGTTCAAACTTAGATATTGTTTTTTTTTTAAGTTGACAACAAAGACACATTCAAATCTATATAAATTAACGATCGTCTTTGGCAGCTGTATAATATTTCAATGGCAATTTTTTTCCAGCCGACCGCCATCGTAAAATGAACATTTCCCTAGATGTGTAATAATTAGGAAAAATATAATTAAATTGTTATAAAGGGCTCGGCTTTCATTTTGTATCGCCTCCACGAAGCCTACAAGAACCACCGGCGCGTAAGATAAACACACAGTCCACAACACTACTATCGTATAATTTCTAATAGAAATATAATAAAATAATTAATTGATATTTAGTTACAAAAATAATTACATTAAAAAATATGTAAAAGTAAATAAAGTTTGAACTTCATTTCAACATTAAAATAAAATGTTAGTGTAAGTGGAAGATCTGGAGGATTATTATATAATGGAATACCATCAACTGATACACTGTATTACTGTCCCATTTATGGTTGGTACATGGCCTACTCTTACTTTGGATGGCAATGAGCCTTAGTACGTTACATGGACACAATTAATAATTATCTACGAACGTTTAGTTGGTCTGTCAGTATAATGTCAGAATACTAAATTCACTGATACGAAAACCTTCGCTAAACGTGATACTTAAGAGGTATCTAGTAACAGCGGAACAGGAAGTACTTATTAGCTATGGAGTAGACACTAAACCGTATATTGTTATAAATTCGTAGGAGATCAAATCAAAAGCGAATAGCGTAAAAAAAATACTTGCACAAGCTTCTAAAATGTCGTACATGATTTAATTATTTTGTATATTGAGTTTGTAAAGTTAGTCTACATACAGGACTAATTCTTGCCAATATATTTAAAAAGCAATTCTTATAATAAAAAAAAATAGTTTTCCCAATTATTTAAAATTTTATAAATGTTGCTTGTGCACATGAACAGGACCACAGACAACCTGTTATCAAGTGATGTCCGTAAAGCCATCATGTGTTGTCGTCCCGGAAAACTGAAGTAACATACATCACTATCACTTTCACTAGCTTCAATACTTACGAGGCTTCAGGGATATTCTCATTTTTTGTGGACTTATCTGTACTACATTCTCTTGGTCTTCTGACTGAACATCCTGTAGGGTCCGGTTCTCAATAGTTTCCCATATATCTGGCCCCTGCCGCTGAATCATACCCTGACTGCACTCGGCCGTTATCAAACTGTAAATTATTAATTTCAGCCATAAAATAAACCTCCTTGACCTTATATTAACTATATGAAACATGATTAAATATTATTACCAATTTAGGGTAGTGGGATTTACTATGGATATAGAATATGGGACTTTCATTTTAAATTTCTTTACTAAAATTAATATTAGCGAAATACAAACCAGCTATTGTTTGTGTAAAAAAACGTGTTTAGATATAAATCTGGACTGTATGATGTACGACGGCACTAGAAACAAATAGCTTTAAATCTATGACTAAGCCTTACAGGCTATATTCGTACAACAATTACAAATAACTAAACTATAACAGAAGTTAATTAAGTTTTGGATGCCCTTATAATTTGACCTTTTACACGGATCAGCCCGACGATAACTAATCTCAAAGAAAGTTATCTATAAAACATTTATGTCGGAAGACGAAATTACCCAACTCAGCATGTTGGACGTATTCAAAGGCAGTCGCCCAGCGGGCGTGTAATATTCACAATCAATAATCAATCACATGGCGATCTCTTGATTAGTGGGTAGCTTATACTCAGACACTCCAATGCCGGCGAGTGGTCGTGGGAAAATGTCCCTATATACCAAGAGCAATACCAATACCATGGCTCGTGCTTGGTTGTAATCTCTTATATTGAGATTGTTGTGCTATTTAGTGCTTATACTGTAAACGAAATATTATAGGATAACAATTTAAATGTTTAATATTGAAAAATTATTATTGACAATCGAAATTGCGTAAAATTATGTTATTTGAATTTATTTCACCTGTATCTATTCTATATATATCTTAGTAGTTCTGTATGGCATGATTACTAATTTTGAACAGTATGAAGGAATACTCATGTCTACTTACGCATTAGCAAAATTGCATCGTGGTTCTTTGTTATTAAAAAAGGGATCGGCACACCAGCGGCAGTCTTGGCCTGCAACGAGGCATTCTCCGCATTCTTTCGTCTCCACACATATCATCTGTTTTTGTACTTCTTCTAGAATAACATAAATATAAAATATATTTCAATGATGTGATTTATCACCTTATGAACTAGGTATTATTTAATTACTAATATTATAAAAGCAAACATCCTGATGTTGTCACAACATCCATCCACGATGTTACTCTCTCTGATAAAAACTACTGAACGGATTTCGATGAAACTTTACAGTAATATAGCAATATCAGAGTAAGCTATAAATTTTATGGGGGTTGTGCACGACGCACCTTTTTAAACTTTTATTATATTTTTTTATATACAATATACATGTTAAAAATTTTATGCTTCATTTTTATTGTCAATTTGAAATATATGTCTTTTACAATCAGCGACCGTAGTTTCACTTCAAACTAAAAATAAAATATAAAATATTTATACAGTCCTTAGAAGCCTTAGTCGTTAAAACAGGTGTAACCGCAGTCACAGCTAGTAAATTATAAATTTGATTAATGGATATTTGTTTTCTTTTAAAAGTATTTAATATTTCCTTATGAAAATCTTTGGTCTTTACCTTGTAGAATAAAGTAGATATTTAAGAAATTGTCGATTTTTGAAGTTCATTAATAAAATCCATTTTAATCTCTGGCACACACTTCGCTAAAACAATTTAATACTCAAAGATGGTAAAACATAAACGAAACTAGAAGCGTCGGTGTATTGATGTTCATAAATAGTTTTTTTAATATTTTCCACCAGCTGTGATAAAAAATCGAAATGAAAAAGACTGAGTAAACGATATCAGGTTCAATTACTTACTGTCCATAAATTACATAATACAAGATATCATTATTATTTCTAAAGTATTAATCCTACATTAATAATAAACTATAAGTACTTGGTCTATTTAGAGGGTTGTAACGGATAAATATTCTTAATATTATAGCCAACACGTGTCGGGTATTAGAACTGGTCGTTACGTTACTCAGAACTATATGATTCAAACTTGTGATAAGGCCATCACTGAGGGAACATCCATTAATTAACAATTTTACGATTATTATCCTATTACATAATATTAAGTGCTCGATATTAGTAGTAATCATGCCTCTAACCGAACAGTCACAAATTGGAAGTGAGATGAGTTAAAAGGAAAGTAATTCACATTAAGTACAGTAAAATTATGAAAATTGAAGAAAACATCATACTATTCAAATTTTAATTAGTTTAGAATACCACTCAATATAAATACTCACGACTCTAATCACATTTGAGGTGGTCAGAGTCATTTATCTTCGTAGCGTTTAAAATATAGATCTAACAGAAACATAATAGCCATACAAACTAACGTCGTGGGTAGACTACTTGAATCGCAAATCTTAGTGGGTGTTACTATGTCAATAAAATAGCATTTTGTTTATTTTACTTGTTAGACAGCAGTTTCTTTCTAAAGTGAATATAAATTGTAACCTATTCAGAATTTATTTATATTACGATGTAGGGGCAACGACTTATGTTTTCCTGAAGAAACAACGACGGTGTTAGATATTTAAAGTTATTTCTCACTCTACAAAAAAATTATTTATATTTATAATAGGAAATACAGTATTCATATTTATTCAGTATCATAATTAATAAACTATTTAATTTTTCAGTTGTATGAAGTCTTGATCTGAATGTGGGTACCTTCATCTCGCTTATTTCAGCCACCGAGCAGCTTGCTTTAGGTTTCGGTTTACAAGCAATGCAATTACAGAAGTACGGTGGTATGACATCTTAGTTCTCCGGAATGACAACATGCATTGATGTTAAATTGAAGTCCATAGTGCTGGCGAAAAGGCAACGGTTACCATTTACCATTAAGTAAAAAAAAGTCTATATTCAGGTCTGTTTCATAATAAATTACTTATTTAAATACGATTGTCTACTATTGTAGTATTAAAGGTAAGTAGTTGTTGTCTGTTGCGATACTTAATGTAATGCATAATTGACAGGATCTTATCTTAATATATTTATTACAATACGCCGATATTTTCTATTAAAATAATCCCATAGTTAGTAAAGCCATTGAATAGAATAGAATAGAATAGAATAGAAAATCATTTATTCAAATAAACTTACATTGAAGCACTTTTGAATAGTCATAACATTTTTTTTTTTTTTAATCTACCGCTCCTTCGGAATGCTGTCTCATCACAAGAAGAACAAGCAAGAAACTTGTGTGTTGCTCTTTTAAATAATTTATTCTTACTTACAATTTAAGTTTAAGTGTGTGAATACAAACCACCGATTAGCACTAATTCAATTAAATACTCAAAAAGAAAAAAATATTGAACACATAACCAACTGGTTAAACAATTAATAAGAGGAAATCAGTCATAGTGATTAGAGCAGACCAGTCCCTACAAGCAGCACCCGTTCACGAGTATGACGGATGAGCCAGCCATCACTGCGCTCGACCATATTTTAGGGAGCCCAATGACCCGGCCCACCACGCCGCCACAAGTCTGGACATTTTAGTGAGCATGACTACTCAAAACACCAGACCACGTCATAGCTACTCACAATTGCCATCTGATGTTTATAGTATTCACATTTCACATAAGAATGCATGCGGCAATTAATACAAAACCCGCTACGCTTTCATATTTCTAAAATAATTGAATCAAGAAAGCAATGAGATAAACAAATTATAACGTTGTATGCTAATAAACTAATTATTTACTTGATATATTGTCTTCTATAAATTCGTCTATCCTGTAATAGGCTTTCTTACATAAAAATTGTTTAATATAAGATTTGAATTGCCTCTCTGTCAGATTTAGTGCAGATTCTGGCAGTTTACTATAAAATCTTACGCAATTACCATAGAATGAATTACTGACTTTGTGCAGGCGGCATTTAGGTAAAATTAGCTTATTTTTATTGCGTAAGTTTCTATTTGTACAGTCTTTAAGTTTTCTAAAACTGTCTAAATTCTTCCGCGTATACATGATATTCTCATAAATGTATTGTGAAGTAACGGTGAGGATATTTGAGTCTTTAAAACACTGACGTAATGACTCTCTTGAACCCATACCATAAATAGAACGTATGGCTCTCTTTTGTAAAATAAATATAGTATTATTTATTGATTACTATCATTTCAATTCATTAGAGAATTAGCATAAAACAGTTAAATCATTGAAATGTTTGAAGTGTTACATGCAGTTTACGATTTAGTGGTTTCGAATGTATGAAATGTACCTATACTATAGGTAACAAAATAGATTGTCCAATGAATCACTTTTCGGGTGCATTTGATATAAAACAGATACAACAAGTATAACCTAAACAAAATTATAGAAATAATTTTCAACTCCATAAGATATATAATACCTCCTACAACATAACGTACAAATCCAAAATAGATAAATCATAACAATTTTTAATAATTACTTATTATAGAAAATACTGTATGTATTGTTGGATATAAAAATTCCTTATTATTTTGCGAAAATATAGATATTTATGCATAAAAGTTAATCATAATAAAACTATAAATAAGTAACTTTTTGAGATCATTGACTAAACTATTAGCTTTAATGCTAAAAGATAAAAATAAATCGCAAAAAGCTAAAAATAAATCGCAAAAAGTAACACCTAATCACAGATAATTTATATTTATCATTGCCATCATAAAGAAAACGATAATATACTACTCACTTATAGCTCTTATTACCTAGTTAATTCGTGTTTATCCGATGTGTGATTTGTATACAACACTATAAATATAGGTTCTTTACCTTTGCTTAAATAAGCAAAAAATTATAAATATACTTCGATGGAGAAGAAAAATCTCTTTATCGTGTTGAATTATTTATAACTATACTACTGACACTACATTGTTAACATAATATCAGGAACGTTGCCAAAACCGCACCTTTCTCAAACTACATATAGTATGGTCTATGTCAATGAAGAGATTATACTTATTTTTAATAGTGTAAACGGAACATTTTGTTTATTCATTATAGTAAATACACCGAGCCAGGTTTAAAATACAGTCTGTTAAATTATTCACAGTTGTTGTGAATGTTATCGAGAATAATGAACAGAAGAAGATATAAAGTACCTATACAAAGGTTAGAACATAGAATCAGGTCGGTTTACATTGAAATATTTGTACAAAACAATAATAGTAGCAAAGAGATTTGGATACAGTGGTCTAAATTAGGGTAAAATTATACATATGTCCATAATAAAGATATTCTGTAATATATATCATACATTAACAGTTTTACTTTTCATAAGTGTTATACCGGATGACTTGTTTAATTAGCAAAAAAATATATAACATATAGTTTTCTACGAATGATAATAAAAGATATCCGCTTAAAACGTATCAAATTGCTGTATATATGACTACATATTTAATTCTGGTGTAGAAAAACTTACGAAGTGCTGTAAACGCAGTGAGCGGTGACTATAAAAATAAAACTGTCAACCCTATTTCGGATATTGTCTATTTTTGAGAACTAATGTCCGTAACAGGTGGGTTCCGGACTCCGGCGCCACGCGTCTGTTTTGGCTATTTTAGTTAAAGCATCTAAATATCTGCTTTTGAAGCCGTATGTTTACGTGCAAGTTAAGATAACTATTTAATTCGTTTAATGACATGTAACAAAATGTGCCTCGTTTGTTTAATAAATTTATACACGTTTAAATACCATAAAGCAAATGAAATATATTTTACTGTGCAAACAAATAAAATATATTTTTTACGCTTTGATCTTCATCTGGAACCTACATAATAAAATCTGTAGCTAACTAAAATTATAGAGTAAGTATCTATCTTTACTTATTACTTATTATCTTACGTTAGTGATAGAGGGTATTCTAAATCAAAACTCAAGTTGAATACTCATGTAACTGAAACACTTTTACCAAGAAACAAATTAGGAATAAATATATTTTGAACTTTTCATACTAAATTAATGAAATAATCGCGGTTTCTATAGTAAGTTAAAAAAAACAAAATGTAGAGCAAACAAATTGAGACATTTCTACTTACAAATTTTTGCTACAAACGTGTAAATGGTTAGATACTAATGGATTTACAAGCTTTATTTATTATTTTAAAAATTATAAAATGTTTACCAAAACTGTATCATATGAAAAAAATGTGTTTAATCAATCAAAACAATTTATAGATAAATATCTAACAAAATAATACTAACAAAAAATATATTTCTTTGGTACATAACATACAGTTTTCAGGGGGAATTGATTGTCCTTCCCTTGTCCGCTTCGGCCTTGAGTACGCCGATATAAATACAGTGTTATCGTTTCGCAACCAATACCTGTATCGAGTGAGAATCGAACTCACTACCATCGGATGTAAGATGGTATGCAGGAACCATTAGACTACCTAGGCAAAAAGGTAAACCCAGAACACGCAGTTCAGGAAAAATTAAATTTATTTCATAATTTTGATGAATTGGGAATTAAATCTAGTACCAACCTTATTTATGCTTTGCAAAACAATGATATTTTCATTTCGTAATTTGTAATGGATAAAGACATCGAAATCACCATGTAATGAAATTTCCAATTCCCTACGTATCAAATTGCGTGGTATACCAATTATTATAGAAAATTCTATTAAAAAAACGTATGAAGTCTGTACCTACCGCTTGCGTCATAGAAAGAGATATGATATAAACACAAATTATACCTATATACATATATATATGTATACGAGAAAATTTAACAATACGCACCTTCAGCACTCACATAATTGTAAATCACGAAAAATATACACAAATAACACAATAATAATTTAGGCCTAACAGTCATGATTATGACCGTTCGTGTGAAGGTGTTTGCACGTGCATATATCAACTAGTAATAGTTAGGCGATCGGTTTTGCGATGAGTAAATGATAAGGGCGGATAAACGTGATAAGGCCCGGCGCGGTAGGCACGCTAGCGCGGCCCATAGCGGCGTCTTTCCTACTCGACATCTGACGCACCTCTGCATAGTGAATGTCTGCCGAAATACAACACCATGTACGAAAGACCGTATCGAATAACCGCCTGAAATAAGTACTTTCCTATTATCACTGTGAGTATATAGATAATAGATTACAGGCACAACCAACGTGAAATTAAACAAATCATAACGTGGTTATAAGGAAATATTACAGGTAATTTTTTTTTATTATGGTTAATGCTATAAATAATTAACAATATAGTTTAACTAAATATTTGTTTTTATTAAAGATTCAAGTTTAATTGAAATTAATAAATTTACAAGAATTCAATAAGAACTACAACTGATATATACTGTAAATTGAGGTATAAAATCTTAGTAACAAACAATGTAAATGTGTATATATATTCATTATATCATAGTTTGTTATGCAAGATATATTACTGTATTTTTATCCTAATAAATTAAATTAGTCCTAAGCCATTCCTAAGGAATGACAATACGTGATTGGTATCACGGGCGTTACGTGTTAATGTGATTGTCGTAGTGCTGTTCAAAGGCAACTGTAGTATATATTGGCAACGGTTACCACTAACCATTAGGTTAACTGTAAGTTTGTTAGCCGTGCCGTTTTCATATTTAAAAAAAGTGCCTAAATTTATCTGTTCAAAATAATAATTACAAGACTGCATATAAAGCAATCATTCCTAGCTAAATTAGCTAATAAATAGCTAAATTCAACGATTTTTTAATTAAGACTTTTCAATTAGGATTAGGTATATACAATCAAAATCATAACGTTAAATTTGCATATAATAATTAGGTCATAAGTTATATATACATAGGTACCTACCTACATGTTTGATTTCTGAGGTACAGATAGGTACATTTTCATTAAATTGCTTAAACTAACTGGCTGCCTTATCATTATCTTAAATCAATAAAACACCACACACTTACTTCATGGCAACGCAAATATGAGCTCATTTTCTAAGAAAATCGCCTGTTTGTCTACTATTTAGGTATTTGGTTCACTTCGGCACAGGTGATTATGATTATATATCAACAAAGATTGGTAAGAAACTTTAATTTCATTTTTCTATTGCTATTTCAAACTTATGAATTATTTTATTTATTTATATTTACACTATTTTCTATAATCCATTTAAAAAATTAATTGAATAGGTAAGTATTTGGTACTTGGTTGTAATGACTACTTGGTTATAATTGTATTTATTTATTGATTTCTATTGTGTGATGAAACATGTGCATTGGTGAAGAAAGTAATATGAATAATATGCACCTATGAATAAGCATCTTCCATAAAAAATAACCAACGTAAAGTTACGTGTTTACTTGTTAGCATATTAACTTAGGTCAATACATAAAGAAATGAATAAAAAATAAGTTTATATATATTTATAAACATTTTAGGTGTTTTTCTTGTCCCGTTGTTAAAATTTTATAGTCTAATGACATATTTTTACTGAACGCTGAATTCATTAAATCATCTATTACCAACTGCTGTTCACCAGTCTGATCCTTAGAAAATATAATATTATTATTATTAGTATCATCATTATGAGTACCATGGGAGACTTAATTCTCTGATTTTCATCGTTCCAATATATTTCGGTAGAGGTTAGACTTAGGTATATATATATTTGATTGTTCATTACTGAATAGTATAAAAACTTGATAGTCATTAAACTCTGGATAATCCTCCATGTCCTTCAGGTTGCAAATGTCCTTCTTAATTACAAATTATAACATTCGGTGTTAGGAACGTCACAAGATTCACAGCTTCGAGTCACGCAGTTAGCCGCTCCTACATAGTAAACTGTTCACCACCACTACAAAATGACCTATACCCCCTCTCTTCCTTTTACCATTGATGGAAAACAATAGGCGAAGTATTCATAAACATTACAGGTCTTGTTTGACTGGCGCGGACAATGTTTTTAGTAGACGTACAGTCGAGGCCAAAATTACTAAATGTGAAACTTTATTTGAAGGCATTAAACACATAGATATGTCAAATTGGTCTTACGTGTGGGTGGCGGCAGGCCGTCTACTTTTGTATTCGCCAAAACAGACGTGGTGTAATAAATTGCACAACCAGTTACTGTTAAGGATATGTGAGGAATGTGTCATGTTTGTTTATTTTTGCTTTATGCAGAGTGGAGAGTATTACCACTTATACCTACTCGTATGGCAATTCTATGGCGATATAATAAAACATCCAGATGGCTAGACAAGTTTTATTAAAACAACCAATAAGTCCTGATTCAAATGTAGTGGTAATTTACTCAAAGCCTTTGATCTTAAAACCGTACAGATATTTAATAGATTGTGTCTATAACAAGTGCCAATTTGCAGATTATGCACAAACGGAACATAAACAATATACGTAGGCTACTCGAATATGCACTCACGCTATCGCACTCTTTATATTTTACTGCTTCTGAAAAGTAACTTATCTTTTCTATAGCAGTCTACATAACTAGCACAACAGCGTAGCTTATATTAATAAGATAAAATAAGATGCGGGTTGTTTTTTTGGAATAATATAATGATAATTCCACCTGACAATAATTGTATACCTACCGATAAAGCATATAAGGATGAGAAGAGTTCATCCATGAATTACGTCATATGGAGGTGGAGAAAAAAAAATTGTGAAATTTAGCATGGATGCCCAAATCTGGGAGCGGGTGTTAGGTTTTGTAACTTCACGTTTTGAAGTATCAAATGAAATTTTGACTAATAAAATAACACCAGTTGTGACAATGATGGGTGTAAATATACTGCTTGGAGGCAAAAATAGGGGTTATTAAAAATTACTGAAATTTCTGTTATGTAAATAGTATGAGCGTCCCGGATGCAACAATATTCCCCATTACTAGCTTTCGCGTGGTCCACTTTCTAATTCTAATTCTTTCATCACAACAAAAAGGACCATTGATTCTAGTGTCAGAAGTAGTCAAGAGAGTGTCACTACTATAAAACATTACCATAAAGTAATGAATCGCATACAATCTTTTCTAATACCCAACGTATGCGACTGTATAAATCATGCATATTTTTGGTAGGTGCTTTACCTATTTAGTGGGTTCAAATGTTATAGTGTCGTACGTCGGTGCGTACACATATAGAAAAGAGTAAATAACTGTACTTAGCGAGTTGAACGAAGCGCGTATTTCCCAACCAGTGAGCATTAGACCATTACCCTTCGTACGTTTGGCCCTTTAACTTGTTTACTTTAAGCGTTCTAACACGGCCTTAAATGAAACGAGGTGAGTTAATGAAGTGTTTATTTCCTATTCCAACCAGACAACTTTATTTCAAAGTAAGTGTCATCGTAATCAGATATGCTAATTAAATACACCGCTTTACCAGGCTACTCTATTCTATATAAGTATCATAATTATAAGATGAAATTGATATTACAGTCATAATAAATTATTTCTTAGCAGGTGACGATAGAAGCGAGTGATCTTCTTCTTGAACAACTTTATTCTTGTGACGACGCCGAATTCTTCCTAAGTCACGTGTCTTCTCTAAAAAATCGTAAAAGTGATTTACGGGGTCTAGCATACCATATCCCTGCTCAGCCTTACCTAGCCATATATGTCCATTAGGATCAGTCAATGATAAAGGGCCAAGGGGCGAATTTTCAACAAATGTACAGGACAAGAGGCTGCCGTCTGGATAAAGGTATTTCCCGGAACCATCGTAACTCCAATCTCTGGAAGAGCCTTCATATTTAGAGCCGTCGGTAAATGAAATTACAGTCTCTTCATTGGCACCCAGGTTGTCACCATCCCATACACCGGTATATACGTCGCCTTCAATGGTGGTGTAAGTGCCTGGACCTGTAATGATGATAATTAATTTAGAGAAATATAGTATACATTTCTAAGTAATATCAAAGTAAGTATTTCATAAGTAGATATCAAACTAACCTTTCCATATAATAATAATGATAACCTCACTACAATTCACTAGCGCCATGTAGTCCCAAGGTGTGTTGCGTTGTAGGTTTTACACAACTGACAGAAAAATTTAAAGACATTTTATGTAAATACATACATAACATACATAGAAAAAGCCCAGAAAAATTATAATTTAATCTAATTAAAAATCCTACTTATGAATACAAATATTTGTAATTGCATGCGATAAATCGAACCCGCGACCATTGGAAGTAAAGCGGTGTGATCAACCGCCAGACCACCGGGGCTATAAATAGATGTGTAGAGAAAAAAAAAATAATTAAACATAGGTAGATACAAACTGAGAACAGACAAAACCATTCTGAAAGATTTTTTGAAAATAAAATGATGACAATATTTAAACTGTACATAGAAGACATACTAACTACAATCTGTACTAAATACAAGATAAAATAACAATCACAGCGCAACGTTTCTCAGTAGGCATGCACCTACCTCTATTGAGCGGAATCGGTTACGATACGGTACATTAGATTTTAGATGATAACGAAACAATTTGTGGCATGATATACATTGTTTGTTAACAGGATATTGTAACTATTGCGATACTATATCCTGTTTAAATAACATATTAACTACTAGCTGTGCCCGCATTTCATCCTCATGAAATTTATAGTCTATATATTATAAGCTAAATTGCTAAAAAATTCTTCAAAATCCGTTCAGTACTTTTTGGGTGAAAGAGTAAAACACATCCATCTATCCATATGTCCATCCATATTCACTAACTTTCACGTTTATAATATTAGTAAGTAAGATTATTTGCCTCTTGAGCCCTGCTAAACCTTCAAAGATGAACTTAGGTCCATATAGGTAGGTATTAGTACCTACTCACATTTTAAAATACGGACCATACCTATATCTAAACAAGAAAATATTTTTAAAAAAAGTTGTGTTATGTTTACCATGCATTTTAACACTTCTGTCCTTTTTTTTAGCTTCAAAAAAGCCGTCATATGTATCCCCCGTGAGATGTTGAAAAACACCTTGGTCCTGTACTACGGGTACCTCCTTCGCGGGCTTCTTTGCTTCCGTGGACTGCGACTCGAAATCCGTTATATCAGTCATCTTTGTAAGCTGAGAATATTAAGGAAATTAACACTTTATTTTATTAAACATTGGTTGGAATGTACCTATTTTATTTTTAATTTATTAAATATTTCTCTGTCTACCCCAAAGGACTAGTATTGAGGAAAGATGTGGGCAAAAGTCGACTAGGTCGGTACCCAGTTTTGAACTAGGTATTTATGGCATAAAATACTTAATATAATGACTGATTCACTGAAGTTTTTAGTCTATAATCAGGTCGTCGTTAATTAGTACTATATATTATTTTAATAATAAACTACTTAGTGATTAGTAGCCGCGTGCCAACCTGTCCATGACACACCGTGTGCTATTTTTTCTGCACGCAAACTTTCATCTGACCGTGACCTAACGAGGTTTTAATGATCTATAATATTAGGAATAATTTATAAGTTCAACGTATTTATGTTTCAATGTGTAAATATCATATCAACATAATATTATGTTTAATTTCGAAATTAATAAAAAGTTGACCTGGTGGATAGCAATAAAATAAAAAATGTGGTAGGTACATTTTTTATTTCTTACCCTTACCACATATAACATTACATACCCCTTACCCTTTGACTTGCAAACTTCATGCACCACGAGGATAAAACCTGCTGTTACTGGACAACAAAAACCTGTATGAGCATTTTCGTTCGATTGGTGTCCTTAAACCAGAGTCGTGATGCTAAAATTTCAGAATTTGTCAAATATTATATATAAGGTTCTTCCTGTAAAGAAAAACGCCGACCTACAATAGTTACAAAATTCTTGAAACCCGGAGAGTACAATCTTATCTGCGAGAGAGAGAAGTTTATAGATTGCAAAGAGAACAATCTTAGCAAAGATATCGCATGATACAGAGGTCTTTTTTTAGTTATCTGATAAAATACAGTTAAACAGTTAGAGAGAAAGTATCATTGTATTAACCCATTATCGCCTAACCCCCACACATAGGTCTCTCCACTTAAGCAAAATACGAATATATAAATATAACGTAGTCGTGTAACGCGACTTCGCCTCCACTAACTTGTATTCTTTTTGTACCCTGTTATGTGATTATTTTTTGAGATAAAATAGCCTATATCCGTGATCGGGATTCAATCACGAAATGTACTACAGCAAGATGTTTTCAGATGCATATTCACCAGTTTAGTCGCGTAAAAGTATAAAAAAGCTAAAAAACAAATCCACTTTAGTTTTATAATATTAACATGGATAGTTTAAATAATTATAATAAATTAAACACAACATTTAATAAACAAAATATATTCCGCTACGGTCGATATAACATCTGGCAGTATATAAAAGTCTAGACAGTAACAAGATCTTGTGGCAAACAGTAAATAATGTATCATCTACGTTTGATTAATGCAGCAAAAAATATCGATCATTTTAAAGGAAAAAAGAATAAATAAAATCGATATAAATCAAGTAGATCTCTACTCTATAACAATAACAATAGCCGATACTTATGAATATCACAAAATGCGTATAGTTTGACCAAGTCACTTGTAAATAAATATTTTGCCTTCATGTTACACATCACAAAGGAGGTAAAGTCTCTCTTTATTATATCATTTACAACAAACATCTAACAAGAAATTACTATTGATAACTAAATAAAACTATATTTTTTACATTATTCCACCATCATTGGTTATGCATTCATTGTACGTTCATTACTTAGTTTACTAAATAAATAATCACTTAACAACTTTAACAACCGCACGTCCTTCGTAGTAAGTAGAACAGATCAAACAATCAAATGTTAGTAACTCACGAAGGACAAACACACAAACTTTAATATTTAAGTAACTTACAATAATTTATGGAATCACTTTACTGTAACACACTGTTTATTTATAAATTGTACTCACAATGATGAAAATATACCAATTGGGAAATACAACAATGTAATTAGAGAAAAAAATACATATCTGATTTTGAATATGGAATCTCTAAGTGGCTTATCCTCCGCTTTTTAACAAAATATTGAAAACACCTAAATATTCAATCATTACAATTATTGTCTTTTTTAATTATGAGGGCGATACGAATTGACGATGTACTGAAATATTCTAATCTCAATTTAACTGTACAAATATACACATTAGAAAAGTATTTGACTTAGTCAACACAATTCTAGCCGACTTCAATGTATACATTTCTGATAACATCCTTCATAGGCAATTAAGTAAAAAACTGTTAGATATTATTCTAATTAATCATCAAATTCCTATTTGTTGTTAGTCAATTCCATTTCTACATTATAATATAGGCGGGGTCTTCAAGGTTTTTTCTAAATTCTTTCATCCATTGCGCGCCGATCGCGCCGTCAATCACTCTGTGGTCCGCCGATGCAGTGAATGAGATGAATTTCGCCGTCCGGAATCTAAGACATAGTTAGAAATATATTTATATATATTTCATAACACAAAAACAACACTTCAGGTATTTTCTTGGGTTTAATAGTAGTTAGAATTAGAACAATACGATTTATCGTCTTATATGTGCACGAAATAATTATATGTTTAAACTGTCCATTTTTTTATAGTAAGTGTTAACACAGAATCTGCAGATTTTGTCAAACTAAAGAGGAAACGCCACTAACACATATATGTGTTTGTAGCGCTCTCATGCATAAACGAAATATCTCCTTTGGAAATTTTACATTCTTTCCTGAGGAGATATAAAATATCGCTCCTAAGAATACCCTTCAATTCTTGTCCCTGACGGGTCTAGGTAGCGGACTTTGAAAAGGGCGAGCACAATAGATCTATGTAGGTCGTAGTGCTACAAGTCCATGCACCCGACAATAGTCCAAATAAATCAATAAAATAAAATAACATAGAATAACAAAATACATCAACGCCTAAGTTTATTGTTATATTTTTATTTTAATTATGCATCCGTTTTAATACATAAATTATTTTGTTCAATTCTGCTACAATTAGAATATGTGAGACTCCAAATATTGCGGAAACCTGGCTACTGGCCTTCCAGTAGCAGTGGCCAGGTTTCCGGTTCATGTTATGAGCGTAAAGTTAATTAAAATGCAAACTTGTTTCCAAATATTAAAAAAAATCTATTAATACAAAAGAAGGTTTCTATTTACCTCATAAATTAAAATTTGAAAGACAATATATTCCGTATTACGTTAAACAACATACTGTTTAAGTGTAACTTTAATAGTGTGTTGTTTTTAATTAGTTTGAAATTATATTATATTGAAACGTAATTGTGTAGACTAGTTTCATTTGGCTATTTGGATCAAAAAAAAATTTTAACGAAATCATGAATTCATGCAGAATGCGAACTAATTTATGTGGTTTATTTATGGACTATAACGATAGTTGCAGGTTTACAGGCATTATAATAATAATATCCTAAGACAATTCACACAGCGCCATCTAGTCCCAAGTTATACTGAAATTGTGTTATGGGTACCAGACAACTGATATAAATACATAGACAAACTCGTGAATACAAATAATTGGACCGTCCCCCGCACGGTCCAATTATTTATATTCACGTGCGGGGAATCGACCCGACAACTATCGGAAGTAAAGCGGTGTGCTAAACCTCAAGAAATTGATACATTATAGGGTTTTTTATTAGATCTTCTTGTCAAATAAACAGTATATGTTGACATACCCTTCTGGAATACTCTTATCGGCAATAACCATGTCTTGCAGACCACCACACGCCAATATTAATGATTGTGGAGGGTTGATGATAGCATTGAACATTGTAATACCTAAAAACACATTATTATGTTAATAACTAGTACATGCCATTTTTAGGATCCCTATTTCTAAAAATAGCCCAAGCACTCTCTGATAATGAGCTTATTGTAGGTAAATTAATCTTTAAAATTAAAATTTAAAGAAATATTTATAATATTATTAATGTCAAATATTTTGTATTGTAATTTTTTTGCCTACCGTCCAGATCAGTGTACAGATGCAATTGAGAAGAAGTTGTAAGAAACTCAACTAAATCTCTTAATCAGTTATAGTTATCAGTTATGTTTTGAGTATATCCATTATAAACAAAACATGAAATTTTATATTTGTTATTTTGTTTGTAATATATATTACAGACTAAAAAGTAATCTGTGAGGGTACCCCTGTCTCATTTATTTCAGCCACCGCTATTTGTGGTAGGAGGCAAATTCGGCATTGAAATTACAAGTAAATAACAAGAGGCATGACATCATCCAGTCCATGACAGCCCTCTGGAGTAGCAACGCAAGAATGTTATCACGGGTGTCACATGAGAACATACAATCATGTTCATGTATATAGGTGGTTACCACTTACCATCAGGTGGGTCATCAGCTTGTTAGCCCATTAAAATTACATAAAAAATTACATTCAATTTAATCCATTAAGATTAAATTGAATAATGTAACCAAATTAACTTACCATACATTCCAAGATTTGAAACAGTTACAGTGCCGCCTTGGTATTCCTGTGGTTGTAATTTCCCATCTTTTGCTTTCTGTGCTAATTCTTTCATAGATCTGGAGAGGTCGATGATGCCTCGCGAATCAGCGTTGAACAATATCGGGGTTATTAGGCCAGCTGGCGTGGCCACAGCGACACTAACATCCACATTTGAAAATCTAAAAAGAAAAATAAATATTAAAATAAATTGTTCCAGAAGAAGAAGAAAATGTTTTTGTCTGTCATATTTTTTTAAATTACTCTTGTTGGTTATGAAGTCATGATTCCCATGACTGCGCCCACGTTTACATTTGTTGTACGCCATCTATTTTCGATAATTAAACGACATAAGTAAATGTGAAGCAATTATAAAAGCCCACCTATTACTTCATTAACTAATGAATTAACAACAGTTTATGGCGTATTAAAAATTAATAAAAAATAAAATGCAAATCACATTTATCCTTGACATCATTATCTTAAATTTTATTAGTTACATTCTGTGAAAATTTCATCCTTATTCCTCCAGTATCTTTACATGGAACCAAAACTCACAAAAACTTACAAATGTAGAGTTTTCGCTACGTCTCAACATTATAAATTCATTATAAAGATAATGTAATTTGTGTAACCCCATTATTCAAAAGAAATTTTACCTCTTCTTAACAATAGAAATATTTAGAAAATATAGATTCGATTATTTAATTTTAAACTATCAAGTTTAGTAATTTAGTTATTAATATAGTTAAACGGGTTTTAACACAATAATTTTATAGTACATAAAGGTATTTATCCATCTCTACGTTTAAAAGAGGTTGCACTAGCCATAGTCACGACCTAACTAATAGATTAAATAGTAAAATTCACTCACTGTCTTATGAATGTATCCTGCCAGTACGAGTTAACTGTTGGTATTCTCTTGCATGCTGCTGCTACTGCTTTCACTATGAAATCATTAACTGAAACCTGTAAAAGAAAACTCAATGAAACAGAGTCTTTCGCATTCTCCTAGGAGGGTTAACGTCTTGGCCCCCAAAAATAAAGAAAATATTTGAACAACTTATACAGAGGAACCGAAGTCAATCTAAATATTTCTGTCCCATATTTTTGCCGGAAAAAGGTGTCATTACGTGATTCTTGGATTCACTTTGAAGGATGACATATTAAAAGGATAAATAATTTTACATACAACTGTTATGAAAATATTTTTGTAACTATTTAAACTAAATTGATTATAACAACATACACTCTAAATAAAATATAAAATAAAGCATTTGAAAAATGTATGTAGTAACTATTCGGTAAAACCATTAAACTACAAAACTAACCTTTACACCAGCTTTCTCTTCCTCGAGCCTTTCATTGACTTTTTTCCTCAACGCTATTGTCTTTTCAACATTCACAGTCATAGTAAGCTGATAATGGGGTATGGTCTGCTTTGCATTGCTGAGACGCTTCGCGATGGTCTCCCGCATACCAGACAGCGGGATGTCCACGTAAGAGGCCCCTGGTCCGGGCGTGGGAGCCTGAACCGTTGCAGGAGCGTCAGCCTCCGCCGCCGGTGCGCCTGCGAGATCGCCGCTCTTCAGTGACCCATATAGTCCAGAACCTTGCCCTACAGTTGGCATGAAATAATTATAATAATATATTATAAATAATTTAAATTCAATATAATTTGAAAATATTACGTTAAAATAAATATTTATGTCATACCATCCGTTAAGGGCATTATTTTTAAAGATACTTCATTTTTCCAATTTTCTATTACTGCATAAATGGACTATTTTCGGAGAATAGGTCTTATATGGTTATTGTAAGCTGTATTTGCTTTTAGGTTCATTATTTTTGAGAAATACGAACCGATTTGTGCTGCCGTAACATTAACCATACCGAAATAATTTGATTGAATATCATTTATATATATCTATATCTATTGTAGTAAAAGTTTCTTCTCATCCCAGATAAAATTATGGTTTTATGATTGGGGTATCAAAAACGAATTTTATTTATAAAACCTCACATGTGAATGGACGTGTTTTTTTGTTGAATGAATCGATAATTAGCGTTTACATCAGCATTCCTATGCCCTTATAATATTTACAAACTAGTTAAGGCGTTTAAAAGCGTCTGCACTATTATTTAGAAGAGAAACAGAAAAATTATATTTAAAAAATATAAAAATTACTATAATTTAATTACAGATTAAAACTTCGTTGAATAATTTAAGTTGTCTAGTACCTACTGATAATTTAAATTATATTTAGTTTAATTACAAACTATCAATTATGTAATAGATAAGATAATAAAATTAATATTATTAACACATCTGCAGAAACTAAATATGTAGTAGCATTGGTTATGCTTTTACTATCTACGTGAAAAAGATTACAATCACATCATCACGCTTAGTGACAATGATCACTGAACAACATGATATTGTCGTGATATGCATTACATAAATTGGAAAGGAGATAAATATTTAACACATATAGAACATCAATAGCACGCATGAACATAATTAACACTTCTGTGTGACATCGATAAAGGATTGAAAATGTTTATGATAAATTGTCTTTAAATATAGATAACAAAGAAGTCTAATCTTAGTTACTGACATAATATAAAGCACTACTATGAATAACTATTCAATGTGAGTGATTATTAGTAATATTCCTAACAAATAATTTTGTTAGTTAATTTTCAATGTCAGATAAAACTTATCAATGAATACAGTATATTTTGACCATTTTAAAATATTTTTGTAAAAATTACATATTTGAAAAACTAAGATAAGTTTTTTTATCTGTAAATTGAAAAACATGTTTTTACCGTGAAAGCAAATGAGTTCTAGAATAAAGCATGACATTCACCTCCGAGACGAATTTTCTTGAGTTCGGCCAACCTTCTGGCCATGGGGCTGGCATAGACCCTACCTTCTGCGGCAGGGGCGGGGGCTGATGGGGCAGGACGAGCCACTGGAGCGGCCGCAGGAGCCTTCGGGCCCTTCGAGGCGGGTGCCGACGCAGGGGCGGGTGCTTCGGCTGCCGGTTTTTCTGCTGTGAAAATAGTTATTTTGTTTTTAGTGTACAATAATTTGAGGTAGACACTTTAATTGAAATAAATCTATAGGTCTAGTCCATAATTAACCCCTAGATTTATTTCAATTAAAGTGAGCAGGGGTGATCTCCTGGTCCCAAAGTGTTAATTTTTTTCGTTGTAGAGTGACCCACAGGTGGGCATGCGGTCTTTAACGTGTTAATGATCGCATGCCCACCTGTAGGTCATCAACAATAGGTTTTGTAAAGAAATTTCATACGTTAACTTATTTATTGTTATTTGCGAACGTGAGTAAATATAAAAATTCGTATTTCAGGTATGTGCTAAAAATATGAAAAGCGACATATAGAAGATGTAATAAGAATATAGACATAATAAATACAGAAAACTAACCTTTTTCTGCCGCCTTTGGTGTCGGGGCAGGGGCTGTAAATTAAGTATAATGTTAGTAGATTCATGCTTCATGCATATTATTTATTTCCATTACACACACATTTAATCTCTTTATTACAAAGGCACCTTTATATGAAATAATAATACCTTATTGTATAAGAAAAAACTATTACATGTGTTGTAATATGTGTATACATTTGATATTCATCATTAGTATTAAGGGTAATATATTTTTAACATTTCATGCGTCATCTACCACCTTCTGTTTTTTCTTCTCTACCCAAAGGTTGTTAAAATCTTCAGGGACTGAGTTATTACAAGCAAACTTGTTTACTAGTTGTTAAAAAAAAAATATAGAAAACATTGCGTAAATTATGACCAATGGTTTTCCATGCTGCATTATTGCATGCATACTTTTATTTACAATATTAAGGAAAACGTTTTGTGAATAATGGTCTCACAGGTGGGACTAATAATGTATGATCATAAGTTATGTAGTAAATAATTTAGATCACTTACAATCATCTTTGAAGTCCTTAAATGCTGAAACATCCGCCTGACTCTCCACAATGATGCACAGCAACTTGCCCACTGGTACACCTTTTGTACCAGCTGGTATCAATATTTTTGCTAAATACCCCTCTTCGGGAGTTTCAAAACCCATTGTGGCTTTGTCAGTTTCAATCTCACAGAGCAGGTCACCTAAATCACAAAATATATTTTAAGTCTCCATTTAGTTGAACACAGGTATAAAGCACAATTAACTATTAAATATACTAAACATGTGTTTGCATCTTACAGGTACAAAGTTGTTTAACTTTTTATTATAATATGTAAAAATATTACTCTAATATATATATATATATATATATATATAAAGTACTCTGTGATATTCAATAAATATATTTATTAGGGTATATTCATTTGTATTGCTGCACTCTATCTTTTTGTTTCTATAATATTTCAATGTAATGCTTGCTAAAAATTACTAATTTAAATTTACCACAGAGATAGGTTGAAGCCATGAATTGACATTGAACATAATGTGTACAACAAAAATAAAAGGATAAAAAAAATTACCTTCATTGAGTTTGTCACCTTCTTTCTTCTCCCAGCTAATTATAGACCCACTTTCCATAGTAGGAGACAGAGCTGGAAGGTTCACTTTTATATGTGATGGAAAACTTGAATATTGCCTGGTTGCAGAATTCCATTGTAGCGTTATTGGTACTGTCTTGCATTTTGAATTTGATAATAATCTGCATCAATATACAATTGCAATAATAAAGATATATAAATATTAACAATTTTGTAGGTAGCTTAAAAAATTTGTAACTAATTTCTATTTATTACAATTTTTTTTTTTCTCTTTTCTTATCTGCAATCAGTCCCGGAACTATGATCAGATTTTTTGGGTGTGGGATCTAAGAATGGAGTGTCCACCCCAGCGGGCGAATCTACTCCTAACATAAGCATACTGCAAACATTACACAATTTCATTCTTTTTAGTCGCTTGGGGTAAAGTATTTGTAGTAATTGAGCAGCCAGTTGATTCAGGTGGTCACATAGTAGCTTTTTATTTTTTTTCTTTACAATTGAGGATCTCCTCCTTTACTGTCATTTATTACAATTAAGTTTATTTTTATAAACTTTATATATATTTTAATATTCATGAAATAATAATTTGAAATGTTTTTCCTGAAGACTGGTTTACAACTTTCATAATAAACGGAAAACATGTTTCACCTCAAGTTTTGGAATTTATATTATGGAAAATTTGAAATTGAAGTTTATTTATTACACATAATAATTTACCATTAAAGAGTATTCATCTATTTATAGTTATTCAAATGATTCTAGTTTAAGTACAAAAAGTAAAGTAGCTGTATTTTATCCGAATCAAATAAAGAATGAGAAATAGTTTTAAACTTTTATTTTCTAAAATAGTCAAAATATGTAATTAAAACTACATTAAGAATTATATTAAGTGTCATTCTTAATGGAAAAATCAATTTATTAAGAATGTAGAGAAGAGTAAGTGATTAATGTATAAAAAGAGTATGAGGCTTACACTAGTAGCGGAACAACCTAGCCTAGTAGGAATGTGAAAAATAAAACTATTAAATGTTTATAAGATTATTGTTAAAACAAATAAAACAATCTGTATACTGCTGATTAGGTAGTAATTACATGGCCTAAGGATTAATATACCTAATAATGTTTGTCTTGTGATATAAAGAACATGAAACGCTGGAGTCGGTCTGTGTGTAAAGATGTCAGTTTTCAGAATCGGTGCTGCATTTTGGTTATGCAACAGGCACCGCAAAATTTTATTGTGAATAAAGTACATTTTATATTAACATAATATTAGTAGTATACAGTCAAATTTATAATTTTGAAGTAATCACAATTAATATGTCAACAAAGACATACTTTTACGATACTCACTTATTTGAGTGTTTCCTCCTTGCCAATTCTGTGCTTATGCATCTCGTGATATTGGATCGTACAGCTTTCTTCAGTCCACTGTTTAAAACTCGAGTCGGTGCAACAAAAGTTCGCAACATTTTTGATTTGAAATATAGCTGAACCTAGCCGTCCAGGTAATCGGGACGGTTTTTTATTCAGTAAGATCGACCTTTTACAATTTTGTAGGTCGTTGAATTCGTTAATCATTGATGAATGAAAAAATGTCAAGCAAAGTGTCAAGTCAAAGTCAAACTGAAACAACAAACAAAATTTAAACGGTTCAAACTTTTTAATTTAATTTGTAATACCTTACAATTCCAGTTAAAACATTTTTGCCCCTAAACTTTTCTGGCGTAAATGAACAAATTCTGTCAACTTCAAAAATCGAAATTGTTAAATATTAGAATAAAATTATGGACTGTCGTTTATAAATTAATATTTATTTGTAAAATTATGTGTACATTTAATTTTACACAAATATATTTTAGGCGTCTGATCTTAGCCCTATTTGGGAACAATGTCTGAAAAGATTTACCAAAGATCTGTGTCTATTGTCACTGTCAGTTGTCAAAGTCAGTAGTATCTCCTGTGATTTAAGTTCACTGTTTTCTTTTCTTTGTGTCAACTCTAGTGTTTACAGGGGTTATAAAAATGGTGAGTTTTAAATTATGAATTATCTAGGTAATCTTAACATGTAACTAGCATAGAAATATATTTTTATTCTGTTTATTATAGTAATAGAAATATCTTAATGTTATTTCATTGAACGGTTTAATGAAAACATGCTATTTTTTTATTCGGCTGAAATGTAACCTACCAATAATTTTCTTTAATTTCAGGCCAAGCGTACCAAAAAGGTCGGAATCACTGGCAAATATGGCACTCGTTACGGTGCCTCACTTCGTAAAATGGTCAAAAAGATGGAAGTGACCCAGCACGCAAAATACACTTGTTCATTCTGTGGAAAGGTTTGTGAAAAACTAAATAATTTATGTACTAACTAATAACGCACTGAATAGTAGTTTTGATTTAAGTAAAGAACCGCATAATTGAATACTCAGTATATTAACACTGAATATGTACAATATTGGAATGTAGACTTCAATTTCTTCATTTAAATATGTAAGTGTACTAGAAGCTGTATTGTGAAAAAAATATTGTATATTGCCACATGATACTGTCAGTTGACGAAGGAAAAAATGTTATTACAATTGTAAGTTTACTGACATCCCTTGTTCAAATTCAATATTTACATTGGGATATACTTTGAATCTTGTCACAAGTAAACAAATCAGTAAAAATTGTACCTTTTATAATTTATACTGCTTTCATTACATTATATATTGTACCAGTCTTAGTAATTGCTAATTAATTTACATAGAATTCTTTAACATTTTAACAAATCCATTTTGTAAGTAGATTGTGAATTATTATGTATCAGATGATTACTGTATTAAACTAGATGTTTAAGAACAGCATTTTTAGTTTATTATATTATAAATGTATTAGAGATGAATACACTATATTATTATATTTATAAAATAATGATATAAAACATAAGTAAGTTTCCTGCTAGTTCTTCTCAACTGAAGTCTCTAGCCAAACTGAATGTGATTATTTATAGCAATTAAAAAATATGATGTGCATAAATAGCTAAATAGATCTATGTTGTAATCCGGTCTCCCTTGTAATCAGACATGTTCTATTATTTACTATTGAATATTTTTTTGTCAATTTTCGCTTATGCATGACTGAACAAGTTTTAACTTGTATGCATCACCACTGTTGTATTCGACATGTAGGGTTTTTTATTGTGATTGCTTGGTTCAAATTTGACTACTTACATGTGATGAAGATATTGCAATATAGCATGTGTTAATTGTTTACTGTTTATTTATTGTGTATTATGTATCAGCTCATAAGTGAAAGAACAAAACACTGACAATTGAAAAATAAATATGATTTAGACCACCTAAATCTACGAAATTTGGTTGTTGACATACATAATGAAGTATGATTTGTACTTTATGAGTGCATATACATTATACAAACATAGAGTCTTATCACTGGATCTATAATTTGTCAGATTACAAGGTACTCTTTTGTAAAACAAAACTTGACTATAGGGGACCCTTAGGCAGTACTCTATAATCCGACAAATTCGGTAGTCTGACACTGCCCTGCAAAACATTTGTAGGATAACCAGGGGTCCACTGTAGTTAAATATTAAGTCTTAGAATTTAAGTTACCATAATAATATTATTTAAAGAACCTATAAGATTACTTTCTTACTCTCTCTTTCCCACTTTACTATATTAATATTATAAAAGTCAAGTTCCAGAGATTTGGTTGTACAACCAAAGACAAGCAAATGTCTGGAACTACTGGTTTGGATCGAAAAATCTTTTTGGAGTTGGATACCCCTTTTATTAAGGAAAGTTATAGGCTATATATGATGTTATCATGCTATTGCCAATAAGAGTGCAGTATGTTTTTTTTTTCTCTAAATTAATTATGACACATTGTTACTGTTTTAGGATGCAATGAAGCGCTCCTGTGTCGGTATCTGGTCATGCAAACGGTGCAAGAGGACAGTTGCTGGGGGTGCTTGGGTATTCTCTACAACAGCTGCATCATCTTGCCGCTCAGCTGTGAGAAGATTACGTGAAGTCAAGTAAATCTGACATTAGAGTAAGATAATAAATTTAAACAAAAGTTATGTTTTTTATTTCTACCTAGTTAATATGGAAGGCCTGAGTAACAGTTAACTACATATTTAAATCTTATGTTATTATGATTAATCTTGAATACACTTAATATATTATTTATTATAATAAAACATAATAAATTACTACAATATTTAATCAGCAACTACTGTTTAGAATAGCACATAAAAACACATTTCAGTGTGTAAATATATAGTGTGTCCAATACTATAAAATAGCTAATACTATATTTTAGTATTTCAAACGATGAGATATGTAATGTGATTAGTAATTACTCCCACAGAAACAAAATAAAAACAATGATTATTATAACATATTTATTCAAACGTTATATAAGCTAGTGCATCACAATTTAGATATAAAAATATATTTTATATTAGAACAATTATTTTATAGCACCAGTACATATTCATAAAAAGTAGGTATATATTAAATTATATTCTAATTAAGTAATATTTATTACCTAATTAAAAATCTTCAAAGTGGTCAGTACGTGGAGGTTCAAACCAGGACCTTAAAAAGTAACACTTGAGCAATCATTTACTAGCATTGATCCTACTCAAAATCGCATTACACAATTTATTTACCATATTTTAAAATAAATAAATACTTTAACATAACAAATTGAGTTATCTAGACACAAATAAATGTAAATACAGATGAGTATATATACATATCGTCGGTTAAATAGAAAAATGGCAGTATTCAAAATGTAATTTTTTTTTACAAGACAAGCATTTAAATTTTTTTAAATATTTTTCCTTTAAAGTTTTAAATTTACACAGAAGTATTATATGATTTTAGAAGTATTTAGATAATGATTAAGACGGCGTGGTTAATTAAATTGACTTATATAAAAGGAGGCAATTTGAGCTTCTAATTTTGAAAAATGTCATTTTTATATTTAATCAACAAAACACAAAACAAAACATTTTCCTGGCACAAATTTTTGTATAGTGTGGGATCAAACTTGCTATCATCAGGATGGGTTGTTTGTCTAAGTAGGTAGACAATAATAGTAATGGACATATTATGAGATTTAATATTTCAAATAGTCTACAATGAAGATATGGATATTAAGGTACTTAATTGGTTGTCTGTAGTGTCTGATGCTTTTATAATTTTCAATCTAATGGTAAGATATGGTTGATTTTACTTATCATGTACACACATTGTCATAAGACCCATCAGATATCTCTTGCTACTATAACAATTCCAATTAAATTGGCGGATTGGTTACTACCCCCACTAGCTTTGGGAATTGTTTCACTGATTTTAATATTGTATGGGCTCTGTCGTATAATAGGTAAATAGGACATTTATTAAAAATTGTAAATTAACATTGACTTAAATGGGCCGTTCATTACCATGCACTACCAATAGTTGTAACAACAGGCTGTGTCTCAAAGGCAGTTTGCCTTTCATTTTATACATTACAATATATTTCCACACATTTGAAATGTCTCAAAATTTTAGTGGATAACAGAATGATAAAATAAAATCTATGACAATACACCTACAGTAGGCACTTATACCAAAAATACTTTATCAGTTAAATAACATTTGTAAACAATACAATATATTTGACTATATCTTAAGTACTGCTTTTTTATGCATGTAAAAGTAATAATTCTTTGTCTTGTATTCTTTCAGTAGGTACTATTTTATATAGTAAAATTACAGTACACAAGTCATTAAATTATATATTGACAGACCCAATTATAACATAAATATAAATTGAACATAAACCATGTTTAATGAATCACACATTTTTTCAAATAGTAATCTAATTTATTTTTCCTGCACAAAATATGTATATAACTATATAGTGTCTTTTTTACACACTTACTTCTATAGATACATTAGATTATGTGCCAAACAAGTAAAATACAACCTATAAAATATATGGTTTGCTCTATTTAAAAACGTCTTTAAAACGAAAATATCATGTACAGTCCCTATGGGCCATCTTTTTTTGGCATTTTGCTGCTCTACTCTGATATTGTCCCCAACTTAATTAAGATTAAGTAAGTTGTTAAGTACCTAATTAGTTTCGAAATATGTTAGACAAGTTTGTGTTTCATTAGATAATAATAAAAGAAAGCTACTTAATTTACAAGATTTAAATAATATATTTTTAACATAATATTGTATTCAGTCACCTAGATCACTATCTTTGTCACCTATCACATCAAGAACAACAAATGCTGCACCCAAGAATGCTGTACCAAGCAAATCACCCAGTGCAGTTAAATATGGTATTGCTGAATTATCTGGGTCCATACCTAGTTTCCACATCCATAACACCATATAATGACTTACAGTTAACAACAATAGCACCTGGAGCAAAGCTGCAGACATGTAGATTAAAATGAATACAGGAGTTAAACTTGTGTGACCGGCCCTCAAGTAACCTATTGTGTACAAGAATATTAACTGGCCAGGTATCACCATTAACAATAAAAGTTTTGTTGTTTTACCTAATACTGAACTTTCTTTTTGACCTGTGTGAAGGGATGTTGACAATCTGGAGGCATGCACTGCAACCATATTGCCTCCTATTCCATTTATAACTAATTGGAATACAGCAACACCTTTGTACTTAGATACTGTATAGTCCAAAATTAACCCTCCAGCACTACTTATAACCATAGCAGACACCACAGGCACCCATCCTTCGTCCAATGCTTGCTTAGTAAATTGATTTTTCCATGCAATATACCCACAAACTGGCACTAGGCCTGCGCCAACAATGATAATAATAGACGGTAATATCACACTTGTGCCAATAGATGAATATAAAAGAGATGCAATCCAAGACAATAATGCCAAGGTTGTTAAATCTCCCAGACTAGCTGCTATTGGAGTTGCAATATTATCAGGATTAATGTATAACTTTCTTGAAATCACTATTACACCAATCATGATGAGTCCTAGGACGAAACTAGCAAATGATGCAGTGAGGACACTTGAAGCGCACAGTAATAATGCATGGTGGATATCAAATTCTCCATATGGAATCCAACCCATGGCAACTGCTGCCATTGCTGCTAAGAAACCAACAAGTACAGCTTGGCACTGAATTAAACATAAATTGCCTATGACTAATGCTCCTAGACTTGTTTCTAGGTGACCTAAGTGAGCATTGGTGGACAACCGTGATGCTAATGTCATTTCTAAATTTCCCTTCAGTCCAAGTAGAGCAGGTACTAATATATATACTTCTGAAACTTGCTGGAAAACATCCCAATGCTGCACCAAGTCGAGCAATAAACTGGCCGCCACCATACCAAACCCGGCGAGTAAAAACGACACAAACATTTGTACACCAGCCACCCAAGAATTCTCTTTTGAATACTTAATGTCCGGTGGCTTATTCTCATTTGTGATGAGCCTGTAGCCATCCGGATTCACGTTCTGGTCACTAGTGCACTCAGGAGTCCTCATAGTTTTAGTATTATTGTTCTTGCTTCTGTTCATAGTCACAAATAAGTATCAATAACAATATTCTTAAAAAGTTGGTTAGTGATTATATTGTTCTATGTAAGCTATCACGTACTGTTAGGCTTTATGATACGAAATTAGCCTAACGTACGACTCCCGATAATAAGACAAAAATAGAACTGCCTCGTTTAAAATATATTACGTTAAGATTAATGAAATTGATCTGACAGTACGAGAGTCATAAACACAGAACAAAACAATAATGTACAAGTAAAAAATAATCAGTCTCTGTATTGGTTAATTATAAAGTATTCTTATTGTCTCCGTTCAATGATATTCACTCACTTTATCTGCTTTATCAGTTACGTATTTGGCACTTGCTTTAGTTTTATTGTTTCAATTCTATTTTTCTGACTATTCTAAACGTTAATTCAGTTCAGTAAAGATTTATGATTGATCAGTAATCGGAAAAAATGTAGCACAGACTAATTAGAAAAATGTAGACAACAGATCAGAGGTAGGAATTAAAAAAAAAATTATGGAGTAATTATTTATTTATTTATAAATAAATTGGAAAGTTTCGCAGATCGTGATGATCCCAAATCAAGGCAAACCTGCACACTAAGCACATTCTTATCGGCCAATTAGTTTATTGCCAATTTTATCGAAAGTATGCGAAAAAGTTTTATTTGCCCGGCTAATTCCGGCTCTCGAAGAACTTAAAATTATCCCAAATCACCAATTAGGATTCCGTCCACAGCATTCCACCATCGAACAATTACACAGAGTCTGCAACAAAATAAGAACTTCCATGGAACAAAAAGAATATTGTGCAGCTGTATTCCTTTACATTCAGCAGGCATTTGACAAGGTGTGGCACAAAGGGCTTCTATATAAAATAAAAACTCTTCCCCATTCTTTCTTTGAGGTTTTAAAATCCTACTTACATGGTAGGATTTACCAAGTAAAGGAAGAGGATGTCTGCTCAGAGCTGTATGAAATCCGAGCTGGTGTACCTCAAGGATCTGTGCTGGGACCATATCTATACACTTTGTTCACTGCAGATCTACCGATGACTAACAATGTCACAACAGTTACATTTGCAGATGGATCAGCTATTTTAGCAAGCCCGAGCTACAGTGATATTACAAGTACAACTTGACAAAATAGATGGATGGCTGAAGAAATGGAGAATTAAAGCTAGTTCCACTAAATCCTCACAAATCACATTTACTCTTCGACAGGGTAACTGTCCCCCGGTTAATTTAGCTAATAATACCCTACAACACGTTGATTCCATCAGGTAGGTACCTGGGTCTCTTCATTTGGATCGGCGGCTCACCTAGAAAACCCACATCAAAGCTAAACGAGATGAAACCAACCTCAGATTTAGGAACTTGTACTGGCTCTTAGGTAGAAACTCTAACCTCTCAGTAGAGAACAAGTTGCTTGTTTATAAGGTGGTCATCAAACCGATTTGGACGGCATGGCATTCAACTGTGGGGAAGTGCTAGTACCTCTAACATTTAGATTCTCCAACGATCCCAGAACGCTATCTTGAAGACCATTCTTAGGGCACCATGGTTTATAACCAACTCGGGAATACATCACTTTTCGAATTTACCCACAGTACAGGAGGAGCTTGTTAGCATATGCTCAAAATACAAGGCTCGGTTGAGTAATCATTTAATAAGAAGTCTTGCACTCAAGGGACTGCAAACTCTCATTGCCATTTGCCAACAAATTTTATTATAGTAGACATACTGATCGCGGATAAACCAGGAACAAAGAAATAAATAAAATAAAAATAGTTTTTTTATTTTAGAACCATTTATTACAAAAAAGTAATGGATTTCTATATCTATAACATAAGCAAAATAGGCAGATTACCTACATTGTTAATGTCACCAATGGTAGAAATGGAATTATAACTAATTACACTTACAGTATGAAAATTATTTTAAATTTATATTAACTTATAGTTAGCCTAAGCGTATAAGGAATTGCAAATTTTGGTCATGCAGGGAAAATAGGGATCTCGGTATAGGTTTTGGTTTAGTTAAGCCAAGGAACATAATACTCTAAAGAGAGTTACGCTGTACGCTGTATAGAGTAAGTCTGTGCTGACAAACGCACAGATCTTTAATATCATAAGTGTCAGTATATTTTGTCGACGTCGATCGAATTGTCGATGTCAGGAATTGTCATGTGGAATTTCATTGAAATTGAAATCGAATGTCGACGATTCTGTCTGTCGAGTCGTCAAGCCGACTCACCTACCCCTACCGTATCTACTACCTACTCTAACAATTGTGTACGTCAATAGATGAAACTAAAGGCATTACAGGAATACCTCTCTATTTTAATAATTGGATAACTATAAAGTAAGTATTATTTTCAAACAAATAATATCTTTGTGTTGTTACAATTTTGATTTGTATTGTATGCTATATCTATTCAGATCCGGAAACCTACTTACTGTGAATTGTGTACAGAATATTTATTTATGTTTGTAAGTCACTATGGAAACTATAACAACTTATTATACAGTTGCAAGTAGTGGTAGATTGTAAAGTACTGTGTGCCTGGAAAATTCAATTTGTGGCGTTATGTTTACGACACTTAGAAAAGTTGCATTTTGCAGGTTGGTGGCGACGTCGACTTTCTGTGTTCGTATTGACATGTGGCAGTGAAATATAGTTGGACCATAGTTAAAAATGTTTCGAAGTAAGATAAGAATACATACTTGCCGAATAATATTACTGACATCTCTGGTATGGCTCCTGGTGGATGTTGCATTGTTGGCGATGTACTCGGACTGTTTCGGGGACGGATGTAGTAAGAAGACGTCTAGTGAATTTATTGATAGGGTGAGTGTAAAAACTTAATAAAATACTGTATAGACTTATTATTCTATTATATCTAATTACCATAAGTCTTCATCTAGTCTAGTATTAGTTACATGTTACACTTTTGCCCTAAGATTAAGTTACCATTACAATTTAAATGTCCTTGTCTTTAAAAAAATATTTACTCAGTGATTAGACATGTAATTATTGATACATAATTATAGTTCATTGATATTATACAAAATAGGCAATGAATGTGTCTCTTCACCACAAGCATTTTGTGACTACAAATGATTAATTAAAAAATAATGAATTATACATTATAATCAGATGAGAGAGAAGTTTCTTACATTTTTGTAATTTTTCAGTAATAAATTATTGAATTTTTTTACCTTTATTATCAAGAAAATTATAGTGTATCAAAACATTGTAACAGAATATAGGTGAGTATGGAGGTAAAAAGGCAGCCATAGCTGCTGCTATACAACATCAAATAAATGATGATGACACAAACCTTGAGGAGAATGAAGTGCAGCAGGAAGTTGGGGAAGATGGCTTGGTACTGAATCCATATCCAAAATCCCGATTGGCTAGGTGGGCACCAGTGCCACCTATTAGACCGAAATCTGAATCCCCTGGAGAGATGGGTATGTTGTAAACTTTTTTTTGTAATATATGTACATTCCAGTGGCATAAGTATGGCCTTTTCCCATCTGGAACCTGAATCGGAAATTCAATACACACCTCTTAGCTATTCTATTGGTACACTCTAACTTAGGTTTTCTTTTAATATTTGACATGTTTTATACTATTTGTGAGTACCTACTTACAAATGGAAAACAATACTCCACTTATATATTAATGTTGCTACATTGGACAAAAGTAATATATTGACTACTAGCTGTGAGTGTGGATTTACCCACATGAATTTTGTAGTCTATATGTTATTCTGATGTATAAGCTATGTTACTGTAAAGTTTCATCAAAATCCGTTCCGTGAAAGAGTAACAAACATCCATCCATACTCACAAACTTTTGTGTTTATAATATTAACAATAAGATGTTAATAGCTCATAAGTCATAATGTACACATATGTAATAGGAAAAAGAAGTTTGAGATGTGAAGTATATATTATTAAATTATTCATTACAAACAAATAATCAATTCCTTCTTTTTATAAAACTAACAATTTAATTAAAGAGTCAGGTCATCCATGTTGCGAACAGACATATACAGAAGAGTCTAGAAACTCATTTATTGTCTAGGTTACTTTCAATGGAATATTTACTTTTTTTCAAAGACATGCAAAACATTTGTGAGTTTCACAATGGCAGCGCAGATCCTTATCTCAGTTAATGTTTACTATTGTATTTAGGTATCATTCTGACTGTTTCTTTTGAATAAAAATTGTAACAAATAGACATTCTGTTTCTAAATTTACATTTCCAGTAAGGTTAATTGTATATTAATTAACCTAACATCTCTGTTACGCAAGTAAATCTAATCGCAATTTAAGCAAACGGGCTTAGTAACAAAGTACCCAAACAAGAAAATGCTAAACTGAAACTATGCTAATACAATTGCAAAAGTAGAACACGCACACCGAGAGCTTCGAGTAAATATGTTTTTATTTCCAATATTTTTTGCTTCAGAAAATTCTGTAATAAAAAAATACATGTTTATGTGTGGCATTGTTTAATAGAATAGAATAAAAAATCTTTTAATCAAATAAACTTACTTATCATAGTAATTTTTTTTATCTACCCATCATTCGGAAAGCTATTTCATCACAAGAAGAATGAGCAAGAAACTTGCGTGTTGCTCTTTTAAACTTGTAAACTGACAACGATTACGTTGTAAGTTTACATTTTTAAGTCGTAGTATGATATCATACAATCCAGCTACTAGCCCTAATTTATTAGATAGGGTACAAACTGTAGATTTTGATAGTGTAACCATCAATATGTACAGTTTGGACTCTATCCTCTAGATAAGTTTCATTAAATTTAGGTCAATTTGGTGTCTAATAGTGAAATTAATAGAATATCGGCACATATCTTGAAACTTTGTCCTAAGTTTACACCTTTTATTGTTACACTATAGGTTCATAAGACGTTGTATGAATAAGGTATTCTCTATTTTGCATGTATTACATGATTTGAAATACGTAGTGATATTTGAGCAACTATTATGCACAACAATACTTTCCAATGAACTTAAAATTAATAGTCATCTTGCTATTTCTAAAACACTTAAAATATTAATATAACGGACATTGGAATAATTACGTATATTGTGAAGTATTACGTATCGGAAAGAATAAATGGTTAGATAACTCCGATAACTCTTTATTACTCTCAAATTAACTGTGTAATAATTGTTTTAGGTAAAGCAGTAAACATTCCAATTGAACAGGAGAAATTGATGTTGGACAAATTTCAAGAGAACCAGTTCAACTTACTGGCCAGTGACATGATATCACTTAATAGATCTCTCACCGACGTGCGGTTTGAAAAGTAAGTGTTAACTGACATTTGTTGTCTTTTTTTTAGAATTCTGATCCACATTTAGTGCGTGCAATGACTGTGATTGAGACATAATCAACCTAAACCTTATGTCATAATGTTAAGGCTTAGTGTATGTCCATGTTTAGACTAAGCCTTTGAGGCTGCTCCGCTTAAGATCACAAAGTCATTAGTAAATACTTTTTTAAATTTGTTTTCATATGACCGTATCATGATTAATTGTAATTGCATCTCATTTTAGCTTAACTGTTTTATTTTTTAATATACAGTTGTATACACATAAATTAGGTGTAATGGCAACCCTAAGACTTGAAAGTAATACCGTTCTGACTTCCATGTTTAGTGTCGGTTAGTAGTGTAATCATCTGTGCTCTAGGCGTAAAGGTATTTTAGAGAAATACAATTTCTATTCATATTTAATTCAACGTTAACATCATTACTTATATAATTTATTATTCCAAATTTTAATCTCAATGTTTATATATTGGTATTTTAACACCCCTTTCATTAAAAAATATTTTATACCTATTTAAATATTACCACCAAATAGGTATAATGTTAATCTATTTAATTAAGTAATGTGGATATCGCATGGACAACTAGTCTAGCAAATTCAAGTTTGCAGTAGCTACAAATCTAGACTATAAAAGTGGATATAACTCTTACTTAACTGAGACCGATTATAATGCACAAACTGTATAATATAATGCACGCGACATTGATATGCTATTGGCCGGCGAGGTAAACAATCCTGATAAGAAAACGTAGCTTATTTCGCCAATTTGTACGTTAATTATGAGGGGCTCTATGTATGCATGATACGTAAATTGTATAAGTCACTAGAAAGTGCTACTAAATCAGTTCTAGATATTAGTTACACTATGCTTCGTATGAAACAATTTCATCCAATTTGAACTGTTTCCACTTGTATATTGGGTACCATGTTATTACTTTTTTATTGTGATTAAAAAGAACAGTAGTCAAACATGAAAATATTAGTCTATTAATTGAGCGTGTTCTCTTAATGAGTACGACATAATTTTGTTGAGAAATTGCTTACGATTTGATTAATGACATCGATACATTCCTGGCATAGCGCTGTCGCTCATAGCGCCGAGTTGTACGCTATTGGGTCTCATCTCCCGTAATTAGAAACGTCTTTATTTCTATTGTTCGCCACATATACTATTTGTAAAGGATTGTTGAGGAAACAGTGTACCATTATTCCTCTTTTCTAGGATTTCAACCTAATCCATACAGTCCCGATCGTCCATTTAAATCCATAGATCCACCTACAACAACCCACGCACTAATCTACTGGCGCTGTTTCGCCTCACTCGCAAGCCTTAAGAGGATTGATGTTATATAAAGAAATAATTGGATAAATTACACATTGCCATCTAATTTCAAACTATGCAATTCGGCACTAGAGAATTAACAGACATCCTCATAAATATAAATGTTTGTATTGTGCCAGATTGAATCCGCGCCGATGTTTCCGGTTATTAATAGATTTAGCTTTATAAATGAATAAATCTGTATATAATAACGCAATAAGAAATATAATTTAGTATTTTCAGCAGTCAGTAACACGATGCGGCCCAATTTTGATGGTTAGATTTGGTATTGAATTGTTTTTAATTTGAAGTTGGATGTTGCTGGCAGGTACTTAGTACTTTCATAGTTATACTTATGCACGTCCAAACTTTTTGTAACTATAGAATAATATAGAAAATCTAACTGAATGGTAGAGACCATTCAGTTAGATTTTCTATTAAATACATTGGCTGAAAAGAACTGACAAGAAACTCAACTGGAGATTTTTTTATTCGTATATTATATTTTTCTTGTTATAATGTTCTGTTTCGTTGTAACCGTGACGGTGAAATAAAAGAATTTTGAAAATAAAAAAGAACAATATTAACATGAATTATTCCTCATTTAGTACCGTTTTGTATAAAGTTATGTATGCTTATGACTCTAAACAGCGTCCTTGTTGAAGTATTGTCTACGCCAGATTTCAAATGACGCTTAATAAATAATAGTAAGTACTAAATCTCAGTATAAATTATGTTATTTACGCGTTGTTATTCCTATCAATTAATTGTACAATCATTAGAAATCTAAACATAATAGCTATCTGCATGCCACTTTTCTTATCTAATAGTCGTTAATATAAATGTTATTCGTCACATTAAATTCATATTTGCTGCCAATGAATCGCTTCAAGTGCAGAAAATCTATTACTACTCATGCGTCGCATTGTTTTTATAGTAATGGTACATAGCTACTATTAATAATACGTTCACTGCTGTAATCACATACGGGGTAGTCAGAGATGAATATAACAGCAACGGGTTCTGTTGTGAAAGTAATGTTCGACATACCTACTTTCCATAACAAAATGGGTCGGTTATTATTCGGAATAATTTGATTTGTTATCGTTGTTATCTATTATCTGAGATTTAAATTAATATAGGTAAAAAATGTCTGTTTCTAAGAGTTAGAATTTATTAGTGAAGTTTAGAAGGCGGTAGGAAATATCCGCTCTCTATGTATGACACTCATGGACCTAGGCAGCGAAATCCTAGTTAATCTCCAGGTTGCAGTGCTATACGTCTTAAACACCAAGTAATAACCCAAATCTCTCAATAAAAAAAGACACTACCATGAGTGACTAGTTGTTACCCGCGACAACGCCTGTTTTTTTGAGATAAATATGGCCTGTATCCGTCCTTGTGATGCGATCACATGATGTAATCTATATTCATATCAAATCTCGTTCTCATCCGTTTTCCGATCTGTTTCGTGTCGTGAAAGGTCATGAAAAGGTAACGAACAGAGTGGCCAACTTTCGAAACTTGTAATGTTAAGTGTGGATACGATATATTTTGGCTTCAAACATTAGAGTAGTAGAATATATGCAGTTGTATAAAGCTTCTAATATTTCGTCGAAGACAAAAGTTATTCCGTGTACTGTTGGTCGAATCGCGCATTTTAATGTTAATATCGTATGGCAAATTCATTGGTCCAATATTTCAGGTGTAAAGACAAGCAGTATCCAGAACTATTGCCATCTACTAGTGTGGTTATAGTGTTCCACAATGAGGCATGGACCACACTTATCCGTACTATCTGGAGCACGATAAACCGATCGCCGCGACCGTTGCTCAAAGAAATCATCCTCGTTGATGACGCCAGTGAAAAAGGTACTTAAGAGGTATTTTTTGTACGGTCTCGTATTTTATTGACATTGTATTCTAAAGTTCTTAATTTGAATACTTTTAAATATTGTTTACATTTGTCAATTTACATTTGGAAATCTAAATGTATTTTTTTACAATTATTCAATATTATCTAATGACTAATGTACTTAAAATATTATAAGTATAGTTTTAACAGAGTTACATCTGCTATGATTACGGGAAGTACACTCGTAAGCGATATTGTTTAAATATTTCATTTTAGTACAATTCTTCTTAGTTCGAGGATTACTATCACGATTACAACCTTTATAGTTTTGTAATTAAGGATTATAATTATTCAAATACAGTCCCAGAATATGTTTTATCTTATACCATATTAATAAGACTTTAGAATTTTTTTTTATTTCAATTTAATTGAAATTAAAAATAAAATACAAAAGAGTTTGTTCCGTACAACGTGCAGTTGCAGATATTTTAGTGTTTTTTTTTATTACGAAAGAAATTATTATTAGTTATGTTGGAATAAATGTTAACTTTTTAATGGGTATTTGGGAAAAAGTGTTAAATTTTTACCGGTATATTTGCCGAAATACTAAAATGGCAAATTGGATGCCTCTTACGACTGCGGCGTGTTTTCAAACTGTGTTGATCATGATCTGAATTAATAATTCATCAGAAAGCTATTCGTTGCGTGTCAAATGAACTATATGTTTCCAGTAGAGTGAACAAAATTGTTGGAACTAAACTCAATAATAGGTTAATCGCACATGTTACTTAGTATAAATGATTTTAGTTCGTAGTAAACCATTATTTGAGTTTACTGTAATTTTTATGTTTACCGGTTTATCAGTTCGGATTTCAAGCGCAAATGTAATTTAAAAAACATGTATTTGTGTATGCAGTATTATGGAGTGTTACTACAGAAAAAATCATGTAGGTATTTTTTTTTAATAATTAATATTCAATCCAAAACTTATAAAAAAGCTCACATATTATTAGAAAATTTTAATTTAATACAAAGTAAGAAGGATGTATGTAAAATATGGTTCTATATAAATAAATTTTCTTTTCTTCTATATCTATAAATATTATTGCAGTTTTTTATCTGTAATTGTCTTAATTAGAGTATCTCTAATAATATCCAATATGTGGTGTATATATAACAATCTGATATTTATAAAAATAATTATCAAATACGGCCGTAACGGTTGTAGCGGTTTAGCATACCGTCTCACTTCAGATGGTTGCGACTTCTGGAAGTTTTCTTAGTATACTATATGTATTAAAAAATATGTATCTAAGTATTTCTATTAGTTGTTTAGTACTTATCACTATTTCTGCTTAGTTTGGGACTTGAGTGAATTATCCAGGGTTTACTATTATTATTAAAAATATATTGATAATTAATGATAACTTATAGAACATCTCGGAAGTAAATTGGAAGAATACATAAGGACTCTGCCAGTTTCCACGAGGTTATTCCGTACCGAGACTCGTTCGGGTCTTATCAGGGCACGGTTGCTCGGCGCCAAGCATGTAAAAGGCGACGTTATTACATTCCTTGATGCCCACTGCGAATGTACAGGTAACGTTTTCTTACATTTGTTTATAGAATGGTGTTCTTTTTTATGTATGATAATGAAATGGTGCATCGACCTGCGCTAACGGTTTACGCTGGCGGGGCACAAGTGGAGCTTGATATGATGAGCATGAGGTCAGGCCAGTTAGCCCATTGTGAGAAATTTATCACGATATTTCAGTCAGTAGTATCAGTGGGAACCGCTGGGAGTTCAACCCAACATGGTACGTCACTAGTAATGGGGTCAATAGTTCACACTAGCAACAACCTTTCCCCAATGATGACCTAATAAAACTATCCTGTCTGTTTTAATTTGTATGTAAATAACTTACATGAATTCTATGCCTATATTAAGCACATGTTAATAATGACAAAAAATAAATAGTAGTATAATCGTTTCTTTCCACATTAGCTGCTATATGCTTTCTGGAGAAATATAATTACAATATAATTATATCCATATGACCACCACATATATTTACTGTGGTAATATTTAAATTTGTAGGTAAACATAACATGTCTTTAATTAAAAAAAAAAGAAGTAGTGGTAGACATGTCTCTCTTTACATTGAATCCTTTTCATTTAGTGGAGACATATTGTGAATTCCGTATGTTACAATGCTAAGATCCACCAACAACAGCAACCGCCATCCCTAACAGCTCCATTATTAGCAATGACAAAATTTCGGTCGTTAATTTTTTTTACGAGTTAAAATTTTTAGCTTCTAAACCATTTTGTTTGTGACTGTGTTGTGTTTCTATTCGGTTGTGATGACCATAAATAATATAATAAAGACAGGACGATAGCGATGTGAAAGAAACACAAAAGTTCGTAATACAAAAAAAATATTTTTGTACATCGTGTATTTATTCAAATACATAATTTCATTTCTTTTGCTATCCGTGTTCTAGCTGACCTATTTGTTGTAACTGTAAAATCACTCTCGACATTTGCAAATACAACAGTCTCAGACTTCCACTTTAGTACCATAAAGATAACTCTTGTTTTAAACTCGTATTTAATATTATATAATACTATGTTATTCTTGACATTAATTCTTATTATAATAGTTGTTTTCATACCAATGAGAGGTAGAAATACAAATTCCCTGCGACTATGAAATTATAACCGCAATGAACGTAATTTACATCTAAACAGTAATCAGCGTTTGTACGAGCGTCTCAAGTAGTGCATGATTAAGTGAAGTTTCCGCTTAGTAAACCTGTTCGATTTGTTACACTTAACATTTTCTTAAAGTTCAGAAAGTGCGAACGTGTAAAGTAATTGGTAAAAGTGTGTTTCTACTATTTAGCGCCTTGGCTATCGGTATTTTGTGTTCGGTTGTCTCCCACGCAACACTAAATCTGGGTCAAGGGTCACTCCTGTCACCAGCATCTAATGAGACAATTATGCTTGTAATATTCACTACGTTGCTTTCCGTAACAATAGCCTTGAACCTTGCAAAGACATTTAGAATTATAAATGTTAATGTCGATGATTGTATAAAAATGAGAGTTATGATGTCTCGGTTATTGTACTAAAGTTGACAGAATATCAATATATAAATAGTGTAATTATATGTAAAAATTTATTATGTAAGTGAATAAATGTGTAACCACTATGTGTAGTATTAAAAATGGGATCTTTGCAATACCGTGGAAATGACTTATCTTACGGCTGTCAAAAGAAAGTTTTAAATACGACTTTTGACTTTTTCTGTAAATGTTCTTCGATGTTCTTTGAGTCATGTGATTGTTATGTTTTTATTACAAATAATTATTTATATTGTGTATTATCAATGGTTGGTATCTTCATTAGCTATAAACTGTAATACCAGAGATTTTCATCTAATCGTTAAACTTTACAAAGTGTAGTTATTTTTAAATTTACGTCTTTCACTCATACACATAATTTCGTGAGTTTACACTACGTTTAGATTAGTGAATAAATTAAAATGTCTACAAGATGTATTGTATTTTCTTTCAGAGGGTTGGCTTGAACCGCTACTAGCTCGGATCGTGGAAGACAGAACGACGGTAGTATGTCCGATCATTGACGTTATATCAGATACCACTTTTGAGTACATTCAAGCTTCAGACATGACATGGGGTGGTTTCAATTGGAAACTCAACTTTAGGTGGTAAGTATTAGGTTCAATGTTATCGAATAAAAACATTGGACATATATTTAGATACACAATTAATCTATGTAATAGTATTATAAAGAGACAGAGAGAATGGATTTTTTATAAAGAAAATAAACTCTGGAACTATTTATGAAAATTTAACAGTGTTTGAAACGTATATTATTCCAGAGTTACGGAAGCTGTACTTTGTTTTCGTTTATACAAGAAAATGTTTAAGTAGTGAAAACCCGGACTAAGTCGGGGCGCGCCAGTACTAAGACAGTAAAGAGACTTATTGTTAACTCTATATTTAAATGAAGTAAGCAGAGATGTGTTTAACACGTTGCAGTTACATTTATTACTTTTATTTTCTTTGTGTAACTCTTACGCCCCATTGTATCGAACGTCGTATACGTGGACATCTGCAAACGAAACTTAAAAGTGATCATAATGTAAGACCGTAAAATAACCTGTCAAATTTAAAATACGAGTATGCACAATTTTAAACTTGCTGTCTTGCGCAACTTTGTCTGCATCACACTTACTTGACATTTATCATTATAGTTCGCCTAATGTACATAATATCTTTTTAAATTATAGCCTACTAGCGCTCCGCCACGGTTTCGCACGTGTGCATTAAAATTCTCTAAATTTCTCAGCTTTTCCATAATTTAATATGTATATATTATACATATAATACATTCTTCCTCTTATCGAATCGCTCTATTTATTGCCGAAAACTGAATTAAAATCTGTTGCGTAGTGTAAAAGATCTAAGCGTACAGACAGTGGGAGCTACGTCATTTTATACTATGTAAAGATGTGGAATCATTTTTGGTTATGTATAATATTCGTAATCACTTTTCGTCGTAAACATTAAATATTTTGTCCTTATCTGGAAATAATAATTTGTAATTAAATTAATATTAATAACTGTACTATTGTATCAGGTTGTCTGATAGCAACAGTATTAAACAATTAAATACATATACGCAAAAGAAATTCGAAGGTCCTATATAATAATAATATCGTCATGTAATCAAGCTAAGTAGAGTTTGTGTTGTGAGTAAAAGAGAACTCATATTATACTTTTTTATACATGTATTATAAATATTTACATACTCATGAATGAATACAAATGTTTGCAACGTGCGACGATTACTCGCAGGAATAGCACGAACCTGCGACCATCAGAAGTAATGCGGTGTGTTAAATCGGCAGACCACCAAGGCCGTAGATAAAATAGTTATATTAAGGCTATTTTACTGTAATAGGATTTATATAGTGGTTACATTAACCAGGTATCGAGTTCCCGAACGTGAGATGTCTCGCCGCGGCGGGGACCGCACTGCACCCCTGCGAACTCCCACTATGGCGGGCGGTCTGTTCGCAATAGACCGCGATTACTTCTACAAGATTGGCTCCTACGACGAGGGCATGGACATCTGGGGTGGAGAGAATCTGGAAATGAGCTTTAGGGTATCGTATTCATAAATGATTTTTAAAATTATTAAGTTATTAGATGAATTGGGAATGTCTATCATAGTGTATTAAGAGTTTGGGTATAGTTTCTTGAATATATTGTGTTTTTTATCTTATGGTCTAGGTACCCTAGCTTGAGTTAAAGTGTAAGCTGGCGGGGCACCAGAATGCAGAACGATATGACGGATTAGCGTGAAATCAAGTCAGTTGGCCCACAGTTAAAGGAACTTTCGATTAAATACTTATTTTTTTTTATAAACACTAAAGTAAAGAAGATAAATAAATGTTTGTTATCAATATATGCGACCACCATATTCTCCCACTGAGCAGATAGAGTGTATAAAACTGCTTCACTTTCAGTATAATTGGAATAGAAGGGATCTACTACGTAACTGAGTAATCGTTGTGAAATTTAAATGTAAAATGGAAGAAAATGTAGGCTTGACCTCGATCAGGTTAATTAAGATTTTAAAAGTTTGATCTTATATTTGCAAAGTCACAAAAATATTTTAAATTTTGTTATAATATAGATATCTATATAAAAACATTCGATACATTCAATTTTGTTTATCCGTGTTCTATAATAATCTAGATTCAAATTGTGTACAGTTGTTTAAATATTGAAGCGGAATGTAATTCAAATTTCATAAAGCTTGCGCAGGTGATACGCGAATAAACGATAAGTCTATTTTATCAATTATTTTCTGAGAATATAATGCTATTGTTTGTACTTATTATATGTATTTCTCACGTGTCTCACAAAGTTATTTATATATTTACTTTGACCGTATGAAACGACTTAAGTGAAATTATGTACAAATAATAATAATTATTTATATTACGTTCTTCTAGATTTCTTATATTTAAACTACATTAATTCTGTTAGAAATATAATTTTTAATTTGTTATCAAATTCATAAAAAAACCTGTAGAACCGAGTGGACGTCCATCTGGCTTGGTATTTTGCTAGTCATGGGGTCATTAGTTCACGTTACTTGCTATGCTCTTCCCCTCTCAAAATGGGGCTTTTTTTAATTGATGATATTGATACGGTGTACCCGGCCGCGGTTTAACGCAGGGCTCTCGTGGAGGATTATGAGATAATAGGATGAGCACGTATAGGTCATTATGACAAATTGACCAGGAACTAATCATGATGGTTCAAAATGGGGTTGTACGCGAAGGTATGGCAGTGCGGCGGTCGCCTGGAGATAATCCCGTGTTCGCACGTGGGTCACGTGTTCCGGGACAAGTCTCCGTACTCGTTCCCGGGCGGCGTGCAGAACATCGTGCTGCACAACGCCGCCAGGGTTGCTGAAGTCTGGATGGACGAGTGGGGCGAGTTCTATTATGCCATGAACCCAGGTTCGGTGTTGAACTATAAGGGCCTAGTCTGTTGACGTTTTGCCGAATAATTTTTATATATAGGCAGGATTAGTTATACTAATCCGCAAAGATATGAAAATATTTTATGTAATGAACAAAATGTTTTTTTATTATGCATATATATATATATATATAGTATATTAATAACTCTGTAACAGACCTCAATACATCAATGGGTAAGTATGGTGTATTAATAAATATTTTTTGTAATTAATCTTGTTAGAACACAACAACAATTAAGACATAAATTATTATTATAATAGTAATGCTTCAATAAAAGACCTATTAAAGATAATTGTTACCTACGTAGCGTTTCCTTCGATTATGTTTCTTCAAGTCAATGTTTTTATTTATTATTCTATGTACATGTAGCGAATATGATTAAAAAAAATTTGCAGATTATATAGAGCTAACGGTCGCTAAACTTTTACTTAATCAATGTTTTGATCCTTTAGAAATACAATAACACCGATTCACGCTTTCGCGCCATCTAGTTCCAAGGTAAGCAGAGCTTGTTTTATAGGTACTAGATGACAGATACTTAAATACTTCTTTTAAATACAAGCATAATACATAATAATAATATATATATAAAAACACCCAGATCAATACAAGCAATCATATATGAATGCAAATGTAATCGTATAAGGAATCGAACCTGTAACTATCGGAAATAAAGCGGTGTGTAAGTACTAAGACTACTTATTACGTGGCTGTATTGAGGTCTTGTTTTTTTATTTGATTCCTGAACATCGTTATTAGACTAATAGTTATTAATTAAAGAAAAAAAACATTATACAATATATACAATTTATGTGCACATTCCTGCATTACAATATTGGTCTGACGTTAAAAATGTTGATCCGCGTTTGACATTGTAAATCTTATAAATTCGGCAAAATGTCATCAGTCCAGGTGTGATACAAAGTTTTGTTGTGGCTTGGGAATCTTAACAACTAATGCCGTTATATGTGGACGTTGCAATCTTAACATATAAATCGTTCGTGAGCTTTCGTAACATTGTACCTATGCCATTGCGGCTGCATACCTTTACATTGCATGCTTACTGATCATTTCATTCATTTCGCTTCATTTCATTTTATTTTTTCTATATTTCCTTGTTTATACTAGATTTATACTTTTTGTTGTTATAAAATAGTTTTCTTATTTAGAATATGATTAATACTTTATATCTTTTGCTATTTCTTATGATTGTTTATTCGTTTTATACAGTGGCTTCTTCTAAATGCAGAAGCAATGATTAATTTGGGGTTAAATATACTCGATTAAAATAAAGTTTTATTGACCACAGCAACTCTTTTGGAGTCATAGCGATGATGGCAAATATATGATAAAATGTTTATTTATTAATATAATATATGCAAATATATGTGAATATTCTGTGTTACGTTAACAACGTTAAAATTATTTCAACATTTATAGAGTATTGTTACTCGTATTTAATATATTAAAGTTGTTATCAGTCACTATGACTCTGTCTATATCTCATGGCTTAATAGAATTTTTAAGAAGTGATATTATTGTGATATTGTTATTATAATCATAACATGTGGGTTGTTTTATTATTACAGATAGTATTAACTTTTCTGTATAATGTTTTAGTATTTTTGTGTACAATTAATAATATTTGTGTATTGATATATATATAATTTAACATGAATTAACTTTTATGGTGATATGTGTTGTTTATGCTTTCTAACCGAGTTGCAATAATGAAACGGGGTCTCAGTTTCATTTTTGTGTCTCAACTTTATTCACCGGTAAATTGTGATTGACATTAATTTATTCAGATGTATTTTTAATCTGGACGTGTAATAATTAATTTATAGTAACTGATATAATCTAAACGATTTTCATTTAGTACTGAAATGGAATTTTTATATGCATAGAATCTATAAATTCTAATAATTTCAATCGAGGAAGTTGTTACAGATATAGTTATTTTTATGTTTTACTGACTTATACATAATGTATTATAACCATATGATAAAAAAAAGTAAAACGTGTGTTATATGATTTCCGGTATTTCAATAGATATTATTGTATATTTCAAATATTGTGTATTTCAAACACGATATGTACGACCGGTGAATATGGTTGACGGGTTGTGTGGCGCGTGACGAGGGTGACATGATGCGCTGGGTAGGTGTGGATGTGCGGCGGACGGTTGGAGATCGCACCGTGCTCCCACGTGGGCCACGTGTTCCGCAAGACCACGCCGTATTCATTCCCGGGCGGCACGGGCCGTGTGGTCAACCACAACAACGCGCGGCTGGCCGAAGTGTGGCTGGATGACTGGAAGCATTTCTACTACAATATTAATCCAGGTGTTTGTCTATAATACCTGAAATGTTCTGGTTTTGTTCTGTTTTGGTACCTAGCATATTTTTATAAGATGTAGCGCTTCAGAAAAGTTGTAGTAATAAATCTTCTATTTAGTTTTGCTGACGATCAAAACAAATATTTTCATTTTATAAAGTGGTCTTAACTTCACTGTTTATGTATGTTGTATTAACATATCGAGCTTATTATACGTGCTTTACATGTAAATTTTTAGCACCTATATTTTAATAGTAGGTATGAGGAACTGTATATAATGAATTGGATGCCAATATTGAATAAAACGTATTTACCGTATGAATTACTGTAATTCGGTATTAAAGAGAAATAAAATAATTATAGTCATTACAACAGTAAAAGTTTTTTTTAATATAACTTACGTTAACAGTTGAATAATATATAAATCGTATTTTTAAGTGGTCAAGCAGAATAACATCAGAACAGTTTGGGTTAGTAGCTGAGCCTTACGGTTTTAGTGCAATAATACTCGCAGATTAGCGAAAATGTTTCATTCATTTATTATATTATTTATATAAACCGTAAGCGTTCAGTGATTTTGAAGTGGCGCTTTCTTATTAACTATTTGTTTTATATACGTTTTTATAATTGTGTTTTATTAAAAGCATGCAAGTTATACATTACATACTTGACAATAACAATATTAATCCGTCATTAACATTTCATACATTGTCATTTGTATAGATTTTATGGGTACATACAACCGTGCATCATACTAACATAAATTACTTACTTTTAGATTTGTAGTTAATTTTACGATACAGAGTGTATTTGTGATTTAACAAATAAAAATCCAGTTTGACAATCTGAAGAAATGTCTTCTAGAAAAAATTCAATACTCGAAAATTTTGGTCTTCATACTTTACTTTTTTTTATATGTATTATAAAAGTCTTCTAAAAATATTAACATAATAGAACAGACGTTTCTTGGTGAAATATTTATCTGTTTTGTTGAATTGTTTGAATATTATAAACTGGATTCCAATATATTACTTATATACCTTATCCATTACACTCTTTAGAGAAACGAATACATGTAATTATTTATTTTCCATTTTTTGCTCACATAGCCATTTTTTAATACAAACAAATTATCATGCGATTCATTTTGTTTTTTAGATTTTTATCAATGATCATTGAACAAATATTTAATGTTAGAACATATTTGTACGTAAATTATGCGTGCAGGTGCGCTGAATGTGCCAGTCGGCGACGTTACTGAACGGAAAGCTCTACGTCAGCGACTCAAGTGCAAGAGTTTCCGGTGGTACCTTGAGAATATATACCCAGAAAGCCAAATGCCTCTCGACTATTACTACTTGGGAGAGGTATGTATGTTTTACTTATATGTGGAATTAAGGGTCTATCGTCGTATAGGAATCAATTTATAAATGAAGAAGTTTGCCGGTAACTCTATTTTTTATAAGTATCTCAATCCTCTACCCTACTGTAATAAGTTGTTTCTCCTTTATAATGTTGAAAAGAATAAAAAAATTGTCAATTTATTACTTTTCTAGATCCGGAATGCCGAGACTTCAAATTGTTTGGACACGCTCGGCGGTAAGGCCGGCCAACCGCTCGGCATGGGATACTGTCACGGAATGGGCGGCAACCAGGTATGAGATTATAGTAATAATATACCTCCAAGACTGTTATCCCAGGCATGGTAGTCAGAGGCATTGTCAAATATTGACGTTCTGGTGAACGCAACACTTCACATGTACTCATTTCACTGGGCTCGCTCGGGGGCTGGGCTGGCCATGGAATGGCCATGGAATGAATCAGTCAGAAACATAAATTGATCAACTTCTTTAGTGTTGAGGAAGTTCGAACTCACAACCACAGGGTTCAATTTGAGTTAGTAAACTATGACGCTATGACGCTCTTAATTATATATTGTTCATTGTGCTTATTGTATTCATTAATAAACTGTATTGTGTTACAGGTGTTTGCATACACGAAACGCAAGCAAGTGATGTCTGACGACAACTGCTTAGATGCGGCTCATCCGCGGGGGCCCATCAAACTGATCCGGTGTCACGGCATGAGAGGCAACCAGGAGTGGACTTACGACTCTAAGGTAATATATATATACGGGCCAGATTTCAGTGTATACCACGTTGTTTTTTATTTTATTCAGGGTACTGGATATATACTGAGGTTGACTTTGTATTAAGTTTTCTGCGTGGGTCCCTTTGTCTCACATATAATACAACCAAGCAGTTTGCTTTGCAAGATGAGTTTCAGTTGAAGGGTGGGATGAAGCAGTGAAATTACAGTGTACTGCTTCTTCTTCCAATCCTTCACAATGGCAACACATGGGATAACACATTATATCCGTGGTATTATTCATATATAGGTGGTGGTTACCACTTAGCGTCAAGTGAGCCAACAGATTATTTGTTTTTATACAGTATACATAAAAAAAGTGGGGTGGGACTTCAGTGACGCTGTAAGGAGTGTCCTCTGTACTCGTTTTCATTTTCGTCCAATGTAGCTATAACAGCTTAAAGTAATTCGAAAACAGCACTATATTTACCATCAGGATATCAATGTATAATATTTTTGTGACTCAACAGTTAAATATAATTTATTAATACAATACTGACTGCACTATTATAATATACTGACATGAGTAAATACTGCAAAATGTTTAAACTTATTCATATTCATTTTATTTTCGGTTAACAATAAAGTTTATAATTATCTGCTTTATATCAGATCCATAGATTTGACAATCTTAAGTGACTCAGACAAAATAAATAATAAAATTTGACGCAAATAATAAACTAAATATTAGTGAATAGTGCATTGATGATATTACAAAGTAAACTGTAAATTGGTTTTGTGTAGGTCTAAAATCTTGCCTGCGTGACTATATCAATTTTATCTAAATAGCTGTCTGAACTGACTTTTCACGGATAATTAACAAAATAAAACTCTTTTTGAATCGATTAATTGCTAACACGTGTCAACTAAAACAATGTCAGAATCTGAAGAATTGACCAGACATCTCAATTTTGTCAACATTTTTTTTATATATCTTTTTAAATTACTAACTTCCCCATTCGATATTTCAATAATTTTTTTTAAACAATTTTTGCCCGGATAGTTAGGAGAACAACAAAAATGAAGAACAACGAGATAATACGAAAGTGATGCGTTCGTATCTTTACATCCGCTAAAATTTTTTTATTATATAAATTTTTATTCAGTCCATCACATACATTTTTGTATGAATATTTAATACACATTTTTTATATGGATATTTATTCACTTCTTTACATTCAATTTTTTAATACAAATTCTTCATAAAACAAACATTACATTCCAAATTGTTGTGTGATTTACAGAGCCGCACAATAAAGCATACGAACACAGGCATGTGCCTGGATAAGCCAGAGTCGTCGGACGTATGGAAGCCGGTGTTACGCGCGTGTAACCGATCACGTGGGCAGCAGTGGCTGATGCAGGTGGACTTCAAGTGGCAGGCTCGCCGCGCCGCCCGCGACCAGGCCAGCTAGTCACCGCCATATGCTCCCAGGTAGATATTTACATATATATACATCACAACACAACATTTTTTTAAAATATTGCCGTTTCTAGTCTGCTACGGACAGACAATCCTTTGAGTTGAGATATAAAGTAATATTACTTTATATCTCAACTCAAAGGATTGTTGTATAATTATTTAAATATCACACAATTATCCTGTAGTTATACTAAATTTTAAAAAAGTACAAAATAAATTTACGACAGTTTTATTTAATAAATCCTTGGAATAGTTAGGTAGTAATATTTTTATATACAGTTACACCTATAAGCAATGGATTTTCTTGGTCCAAATAATATGCTGTCTTAAAATATTACCACGCAGTTATTAGGTAAACACATCTTTTTACGTTTTCTATAAAGCTTACATTACAGCGAATAATATGACATACCTGGTTATATTTAATAAAATCAGATTAACTGTGATGTGAAATGTTAATCACAAATTGATATCTGTAGTTGTTATGTGTAAGTAAAGTTGTGTTTTTATTTTCAGGACTGACAACGATAGACCATAAAAGTCTTCCCCTCTCGTTATATATCAGATTTATTCCTTATTCTTGTGTATATCTGAAATTTTATATCTATTAGACTTAATTAAAGTATCGACTCATAAAATCCTGTGAATTGTTGACAATACATTAAAATATGCTGACATAAGTTGTATTCCCTTTAAATATTGCTCAAACTTAGTATTTTGTTGAGTAGAGTGAGTTTTATTGCTATTCATTAGGTGTATGGAGTTGAGAGAATATTATATTGAATTATTATAAATAATTATTATTTTGTTTGCAAAAAGTTACAGGTATTGAATTGTGGTTGTTTATTGAAGATTATTGTTTGTATAGAATTGTAATTTTTATTTATTTCTTTTCTGTAAAATGTTACTATTCGATATACTTTTTAATTGAAATTAATATCTTAATATTATCCTCACAAAAATAGAATATAGATATACAAGAGTTTTAAATATTTTGTGGATACTCAGAATAGATGTTAAGTTGAGCTGTGCAACGGAAGTGTGTGGTGTTTGAATTGCAATAAAATACTTTATTTTTCATTAATAAGTAAAATTAAATGCATTTAGTGTATTTTAAGGTATGTCCCTAGCAAAGTCTAAGAGAACAAATTTTAAATATCTAAACTGCTATTACTACTATGTGGAATTGTATTACAATCATGTTTACATTAATTCGCTGAGAAAATATAATACAAATATCGCATACAAAAAATAACTTCTCACTTGCATTATATTTTGCTACGGACTTACCTTTAAATACACTCGGTTATATACACCAATGTATTCGTATTCCAAGAACGCCAATGTGTTATACTAAGACTCCTTGCATTTTATGTAAAGTTCATGGTGCTAAAGTTGGCCACTAGGCTTAAATGCATTTTTATTTCATTCTTATAATTCTTAAATTGGTTAGTATGGCTAGAGGCATGTGCCATGAACATTTGCCAAATTGCCTTACGAGTTTGCCACATGTTTTATTCCGATAGGATAAGCACGATCCGCGAAGCTATTAATTAGCAATTTATTAGTTTCAATATTCGTCTCTTTGTTTATATATTCTACACGTCGCTGGTCGTGTCATCCTATCTGTTTAAGCCAATAAATAGATTTGTAAGAGTATTAAATTTCAAAGACTTTCTAATATTTTTTTTGTGACTCAAAGCAGCTTTCCATCCAGGGTGAGAGCAGTCATAACACTGCATTTATATAAGTGTTGTAAATGACTCATATCTGTTACTATAGTATTTCACTGCCATGAGCATTAGTTACGCAGTGCTAATTGAAATTATGTAGTCGAAATGTTGATTATTTTAAGTATTTTTAACTATTTCACTTTGCACGGTTTTTAATACACTCAGTAGGATTGTCTAGTGTGAGATTATTATAGTTAAGGGACTTTCGTGTTACGTATTGTTATTGTTAAGGCGGTTGACATGGACAGATGTGCGTGCGATGCTAGTGTCCAGAGAGTTGATTTTGACACAGACAATTACATACTGTATCATTTTAATTTTGTACAGCTTTATCGCGTTTTTGTTAGCAGCTGCGGGGTTTGATTACTCGTAGTTTGTTACTTTTTACGTAAATAACTGAGTTTTTGAAAAAGATATGACGGTACGGCACAGCTCTGTGTGATATGCCTTAATCTACAATGAATTAAAGAGAGAGTATTAAAGTATCTCAATAAAGTCCTGTCACAAGCTTAGAAAATTAGACGTTGAATCTGTAGTTATAAAAAATAATTTATATTTCCATTAAATAATATAACTGTTGCCTTAATTATTTTTATGAGATTTCGAAGTGATAGGAATAAATGATAAAATTTTAGTGTATATGCTCTGTTAGAAGGGGCTTGATGGAATTGCCTTTATATTTTGTTCTTATAGAGATTTCTATGATAGCCGTGTATCAAGTCCGTAAACAACGAAGTGTATATTTCTTAGTGTAAATTATTGTTCCTTTTTATATTTTAATAATATATTATCGAGGCGCTCGATGGTGACTCAAACGAGAGCCTGGTTTAGTCCTCTCGATGCCGAATTATTTATGTAAAATTACATTTAAATAATAGTGATTGGGTTTTAATTCGCTTATAATAATTTGAATTGCTGGTTAAATTATAATCATATCACTAAATAGTAAATTTCATTGTAGAATGTATTGGCATGTTGAATGAATTTACGGGATACATCACATATTAGTTGTGTAAATGTAAAAGAATATTTATGAGATTCAAGGTCTGTATATGTATGAAGATATTTTGTAAAATCTTTTAAGTGTTGTAAAAATCCGAGTTTCTATCATAGTCAACAAATATCGCGCTGTATTTTGAGGCGTCTGTTGACCTCGACATAAAAGTAGTTGGCTATTTAGATAAAAGTGTAATTATTGTAAATAAGCTATTACAAGAATATTTGTTCAATTGATAGAAGTATGTGTATCTAGTGTTTGATGATAATATCGAGAATGCATTTCTAAAACTCTGGAATCTCACTATTTTGATGAACTTACCAGACGACAGTGCCAAAAGTCGCAATTTATTTAATATAACATTCACCATTCCAATAAACTAAATTATGATGCGAGTTGAGAATAAATATTGTTTGGACTGAAATTTGTTTTACTGATTACCCTAATTTATGGTGTAGTTTAAATGACCAATTTCCTTTGTAACTAGGTTTTTAGGATAAAATAGAAAGAAGTATTACATTATTTTATTTATTAATAAACTTAACATTTTATACTTAACTATCTTACAGTTTATACATTATCAAACAAATGCAGATGTGCAAAACAATCGATTTGCCACATTACATTACCGATAATAATACCTTCTCATTCGTATTTTGCGCGCATATAAATAAGCACTAAAACGTGCCTATATATGCATTATAACAAATAATACAAATACACTACAATGAAACAAAAACATTAGTGGTGGGATTACAGTAGATAAATAGTAATATTGACATAATTAGGCCGCAAGTGCTGTACTCCCGTTTTTTGACTTACACTGAGCATGGAAATAATAGTGTACGAAATATTTTAAAATACTGAATTATTGACAAAGTTATACTAAATATTTCAGTTACATATAGTTTACAGTATTTTTGTAATAAACTTCTGCATTAAGACGATATTGTAATACAGACCAAAAATAATATTACAATTTAACATAATGTGATAATTTTTCGTAGGCCATATTATGAAATGTTTTGTTATAAGCACTGTGAACTCTGGTTAAAATCACTGTACCGATTTGTGATTTTTTTGCAGTTTGAAAGGTACTTACTCCAGAGTGACAGACTATATATTTATATTAATATTTACAAAACTCAGGAGTTATCAGGGAATATGAAGCAGGACAACTAGTGGCCCAGTTGTAAAATAAAGCATGGCGAAATTTTGAACATGTATTACTTCAGTATGACGTAAACGTTGGGTGCAGCACTTGTAGTCAAGCTTATAGGAAACATACCTTGTCCGATTACATTGTTTACGTAAGTTACACTACACTATAGCCATAGATACATAAAAAACTAAAGAGAGGATCTGATATTAGATTTCTAGTTAAATTTTTAATCAGTATGTTATGTTGTATATATGTGTATGTATGTTTTCAACATTCGTATCTGAAGTCCTTTTTTTGAAGTTATTATTTATATTGAATTGAATAAATAATTTTATGAAATTTTGTATTAAAGTTTATTCGCCAAATGTTAATCTAGTTTCTAGTCTCTTCGGCAAGGCTCAAGTACTAATCTTGAGTTTTTTATATATCAAACTTAAATTAATTGTAATAATCAAATTTTTTAACATTATTACTATATAAAAATGGTAATAAAAAAACTAACATAACGGGTTAGACGACGTTTTCACCTATAATTAAAGTTAAAGCACTGCAAATGACTATACCTTAATAAATTCATACACAACATGCAATTATATATATGGTCCTGTACACAGGCACAATATAACGAAGGCTCATTAGTGTGATATTGAGATCAGTATAGTTTGTCACAGACAAAAACAGATGCCGCACGTAATTCAATCTGTATAGTAACTATTTCCTATTATGATGGTAAAAAATCTATTTAGTTTTGTATTCATACATACATACATTTCTATTCATGAGTATAGTTATTTGTATTAGTTTATATCTTACTTTTATTTATTATACATAAATATTTATGTATGTATATTACTTGTCTAGTTACTCATTGTACAGGTTCTACTTAGTTTGAGACTATATGCTGTTACGTTATATTTAATATATAAAGTACCGTAGTTTATGAATGGCTCTATTGCACTTATTTCGGACATGTCTCTGTCCTTCTAAGTATCTGAGTGCGTTAGGCCTGAGGCCTCCGATAAGCATAGCACGCATGCTAAATCATACTTTATTGTTTTGTACGACAGATGCGTTTTAAGAATCTGGAGTGAAATATCTGTAATAAGTACTATTTATTCTTAGCTCAGAAAAAATAGGTAAGTACGTTACTACTGTTACGTTGCGGCATCTACATATATCTGTCTGTGGTAGTTGTCCGTGATAGCCTCCAAAGTTTTTGGCAGTCGTACACAAAAGCGGGCGCGTGAGAGTAGGGTTGGTGGTAACGTGGTCACGCGGTGGTCACGCTGTGGTCCCTGGGGTGTGAGTAACGACTGGACGCCGTCATTCATGTGGCCAATTGTCAGTTTCCACTCGTGCCAATTGCTTTCTTAGACTTTGGTACAACTTGATTAGGGATTCCTGAAACAAATGATGTTTGATTTTATTTTTCCGCATTAATAATTAGCTATGCATTCGCATATGAAAATAAAATTACCTAAAGGCATGAACATTTAGTCACCTGAAATGGCAACGCATGTGTTAAAACAGGTATATATAACATAATGACGTAATATCTCTGTGCTGTTCATATATACATAGAAGCCGTGATGGTTGTCACATATATGGTATAGGTCGTCGATGCTGTCGGATTGTCTTTCCAGATTTATATAGAAACATTTAGATCATCAATGCACGCCAAACAGAGAATCAATAACATAATAAAATAAGTAAAATTATTGCAACTATGAGGCCGTGGACAATGGTTTGACAGCATTGATTATTTCTATGTTTTTATTTTAGCAATGTAACCACAGAATAACTAACACTAAAGTGATCATAAAGCTTACGTTTCAAACTAATTCTGGGGTAATGATAAACACAACAAATATTTTTTATACTAGAAGTAGACTTTGTACAAAGTTGTACGCAATACAGCTTTGTAAGCTGTGTTTCGGTTGAATAAATGGGAATAAATGACTTTGTTTAAGTATACAATTGATATAAATTTTATTTATCATGGACGGAAATGTAAAATGTTGTATTATGACTGTAAACTTATAAGATATAGTGTGGTAATACTACTTAAGGACGTCCATCAAGGTTGAATTTGAATATATCGATATACAACATATCTATATAATCAGTGATTCTATTAATACTGTGCATGTTAAAAAAACAAAATAGTTACCTTCTCGTTTTCTAATTGTATAATCTCTCTTTTTTGTCGTAACTCCTCCTCGTCCATCTGTGATTCCAATTCTGATTTTTTGTTACTTAAAAACGCTAATTCTGTTTGAACCTAAAATTCATAAAAAATATTATTTTAATAGGATTGTTTTTACAAAAATTATATAACATAAATTAACTCGACAATGTACTGAAAATTAATAACGCGTGATGTGGCGTAATATAATTAATAAATATCTAACGATAATAAATAGCCTTGAACATATATTTAGTCCCAAACAAAGCACAGCTTGTAATATGAATACTAGACAACTGATAGATATATTTAAATACATTTTCGACCAACTGCCAAAAGAGGAGGTTCTCATGTCCACGGTATTCTTTATTTGTGTTTATAAGCAATATCTATACTAATATTATAAAGAAAGAGATAGAGAGAGAGGTTTGAGGAAAGGAGGTAATAAACCTTGACTCTTAATTAATTATCATAACTCATACATTTAATATTAGCTGACTTATGAAACTTCTTCTGTATCACATTTTCCACGCTTTTCGCAACATCTCATTACTGTTCAGCTTCTATTGGTCGTAGCGTGATATTATATACTATTATCGATAATTCAATATGATATATTTAACATTAAATATTAATTCAATTTGAAGTGGTAGGTCCTGAGGCTAGTACATTTAACCAACACAAATTACTTAGCTTTATATGAGAGTAGTTCACTTATTTAGTTACTATTTGGTGGTTGGTCTAACCTTAAGATATTCAGGTGCTAGTTGCTTATGTTCCTCATATATTCGCTTAGACTCTTCGTTATTGAGGTCAGGGGAGATGGGTCTCAGATGTGGCTCCAGCATCGTGTGCATGGAGTCCAGCGCCGGGTCAGGTTCAGGTGGGGGCACGACGCCCTCGCCTTGCGTCGACCCACTGCTATCTGCAGACAAAACCACAAATATTTATAATTTATGTACATATAAAAGATTTATATATCATGGAATTATCATGAGAAGAACTGGCTACATAGTTAACATTGCTTTGTGTTTTGATGGTTGCTTTTTATCATTGCTTGTCCGACCAAAGCTTTTCACTTTTGTTGATTTGGGTGTCTTCTATGTAATATGTCCTCTATATAATACTTATTTATAGAAACAAAATATTTGTTTAGCACATAAAACAAGATTGGCTTTGTCTTAATCTAGATGGCGCTGCGTCATATTGTAATGAAAACAAAAACACCACTTATAACTTTAACAATTTCATATCACTTAACTTAAATTACATGTAATAAACAGCAAGTTTATTTGTTTTACAATCAATATTCAGTACGAATATTGTTACTCTTTTCCCTGTTCGGACGATTCCACTAGATACCTGTTCCTCTGGAAGTCACGCCTAGGCAATGATAACAAAATATGATAATACCTACTATTCCATTGGATACTTATGGATAGCCTGGTATACTGATATATGAATGAATGAACCAGTGTATCATGGAATAGAAATAATCTGTATCTAAATAAACTTAAAAAAAAGCAGCAATTGTATTATTATGCCGTTTATTCTAAATGCAAATTCAGTCAAGAAGAATTAGCAAAGAAACTTGTTTGATGTGTATAAAATCATTACTTGTATTTTTAATAAGAAAGACGCAGTTAGCGTCTTTGGATAATACTTCTTTTTTAATTCAAACTATGTTTACATTGTATTACACATTACAATAGTATAGCACATTATTATTTCAATTGTCCATGATTAGGTATCTGTAATTATGTTATCATACAAGACATATTAATGTTATCTATTGTAAACATTATATAATTATGCTTCAGTACTAAGCTTTAATATGTAATATTAGGATGCAACATAAGAGGAAGTAAGATTTAATAATTGAATTATTACTGTCTCATTATTATCTAGAACGGACGACAGTAATTACTGAGCTGAAACTTTGCATAAAGAGAAATAGAAAATACAAACAAATCGATAAGAATACAAATTATATTTAGTTACTTAGCGGTCTTGCATTACGTGATAGATTTCCAGGAACAATGGTGTTGCGCTCGGCACAATAGTAATTATTAACACGAACTTGGTATACAACGCTAGAACAATCTTTGTGTTTAGAGGAATCACTCGCAGTCCCACGGCAGGGTTAAATACGTCAAGAGTTAAATTTACTTTGGGTTGCTGATGTCAGACGCTTCACCTAGATTTCTGCTTTCAGCGAACGTTTCTTTTTTCCGCATACAGATGGCAGTAGCGTACTATAGAAGGCAACCAAACGTTGTAGATCACCTCTGAATCCTAATACACTAAACGTAGAAGTGATAACTTTAGAATAAGCATAGATTGAATACGACGTTCTTGACATGTTCGAGTTGTGAATGTAAACAATAAAACATTGTACTTACAACTACTTTTGAACTAATATGGGAATTGAAACCTCGTATACACTTAGTATTTTCCACTCTATATTTAATTCACTTCATAAACAAATTGGAATATTTTATGAAAATGTTGTTTCGTATATATCCAATGGGTATTTGTATATAAACACTTGTTATAGCCGCGTAAACCTCAACTGTGTATAAAGTCGCGATTTGCTGAGTTAATAAGATGTAGTAGTTACGCGAGTCAAGGGCGATTAGAACGGAGGCGCAAAAGCGCTGCCCATTGTGAAGGGCGGCGGAGTTTCCGCGTCGTGTAAGTTTTCAGCGAGCGAGTAGTGTCCAACAGACGCGTGTGGTGCGCGGCAGCGGACACTCACTGTAAAATATCCAACTACAGCTGACTGTGTCCCTGATGGTGGTGACGATGCCGGCGGAGGCGGTGCACGCGTCGATGCGGCGGAGGCGAGCGGGCGGCGCGGGCAGTGGAGTCATGGCGCGTCCTCTCGCGGAGACAGTGCGCCGAGCACTGCTGTGCACGCCACCGCCCGCTCAAAATAATCGACGGGAGAGCCGGGAGCGAGTGGTGCAACGAACAAATCCCCGCTATTCGCGGTGCGGTGACTCAGCGACGTCAGCCCGAGCTAAATGCGGACACCGTGTGCTGCCACCCTTCGCGAGGTTTTCTGGCGGTTTTCTCTGGGAGGGCGCGCGCGCACCGCTCTCTGCAGCCGGTCGACGACCTGCGCCTACGGCGTGATGCCTCTTGCACCCGGCACCGGCGTCGAGTGACCCGCCGCACCCGTGCACTTCATAGATCACTCAGTTGTAAATCTCTGCTATCTTCTGCGTTCACAAACCGTCATTCGCTACGCCTGTACAAGTAGCGTGATCACATATTTATTAGCAGGGCTTGTTGGACGAGCGCCGGACAATGTTTCGACTTGCAACGGTGACGCGTACGAACGACAGGGTTAATTTAGGGCCCGATTGCAGCATTATACCCAGCTTTAATTCATAGAACGATTGCGATGTGCATTGGCCAAGGTGCAGTGCGCAAAACAACGTAAGCCCGACGTAAATTCATGTCATATCAACAATACAAATTTATATAGGCTACGCAAGATTCAAGAATCGAATTCATAAAGTATGTCATGTGCCAATTCCCTGCTGTTTGTTAAAAGTATAATAATAAAAAATAAGTTATCTGCTTTTCTTACCGAAAAAGAGAAAAAATATTATAATTTTGACACATACTTATACTTACTATAGCTATATAAGGTAGTAAGTATAATTATGTGTCAGTAATAAACATTCAAGCGTCCACAACAAATCTTATAACATATCGCTAAATTTTTCAGAAAATAAGAATTAACGAAATTGAAGTATTAATTTATTCTAATGAAATACTACTAGAGACGAATAGCTCTTAAAACAATATGACCTGAGTAGCGTGCCAACGTCGTGTTTTAATAGCTCATTACATCCAAAGTATAACTTATACAGTCTTAAAGAGAGTCCAGAATAATCCAACGCGTAAATCTTAATGTGCATCGGAAGTTGAATATGAGGGGGCACTTACGTTACATCACAACCACAAAGCATAATTTAATTTAGCGAATTATATTTGAAACAGCAAAATTCTGGAAGCCTTCTGAACAAAATTACAAATCGGGATACCAGTATCAGAACGAAGTCGTTCTGTCGACTCGACAAAACTTTACATTTTGTTGGCCAAACTTATCAACAGACTACACATAAAAATGTTAAATAAAAGTTTCAAAACTTACAAATTAAGTTCGTAGCAGAATATGAACAAACTTTCCTGACGAAACTCTGACTTCGGCTTTTCGTAGTGTACGTTGCCTTTTCTCTAAATGACTACTTTAGTCAAAAGCTTACTATATTTATATTGTGTGTAGTTTGTTATGAATTCTGTTTAAATATCTTGGCACCTATAGGTTTTATTTAACTAATTTACTATATGTAAATAAAAATTACGAAGATGTTGCTCTGTAACATTTCATGGTGAGATAAGTATGGGACGTAACTATCATGAAACGCGGAAGCGACAATTGCGACAAAAGTAATATAAGTTCATTATGTCTTATCTATCTAGCGCAGATTATCTTAGCAAAATTGATTATTCTAAAATAGAAAGGCGGATGAACAGGTATACGAAAATAATAAATAAAAATTTGTAAAGCGTATTACATACACAGTTTTTATGTTTGTGCAAGCAATTCCGTTCAGGCGGAAGCGGTAATTAACGAGTAGTAAGTGAGGACGGGATGTACTAGCGACGGGCGTGTCGAGGGGCGTTGACAGACTCTCCTTCGACGGCCGGCAAGCTCAATGATCATGACTAATCTAAACATTTAACGACTGAAAACATCGATGAACCATAAAATTTAAAACCAGGAACTGTAAATCACATGCCCATCTTATTCTGGCACGATATAAAGATCACCAGTATGCGATATACAGGCGTTGATAGAAAAGAATCATGATTACATAGATCGCCTACTGTCTGAGGGAAAACTCAAAATTTTCCAGAATTTACGCGTACGCTTTGAGATGATTAATGAAAATGAAAGGAAAAAGAGGAGCACGTAAACCCTGTTTATGTGGACGAAGTAAAAACATTTCCATAAGCATTACCTAAGCGGTTCTGTATAAACTAGGGAGTAAGGAAAAATAATTATGTATTCCAGGTAGAGTGAACAATTCTTAGGATGGAAGTGTAGATTATTAGTAAAACAAATACCGCGTGTTAGTATATAGCTAAAATTTATGAAGGCTGTGCGATTTTTGTAATACCATAAATCCATCGTTTGAAGGCGAACTCTTTGATCGGCGGCATTAATATGTTTTCAATTTGGCGTCGCGACGAGCCGCAGACTGCTCTAGTTGCGTCACTCCGCTGACATCTTGCGGAACTGTCCACGAACGACGCTTATTCTATTAGCAGATTTATAGTTACACCGGCCAAACAGGCAGATGTTTATAAATTGTTGCCGATTTAAAATGTCAATCGATTTTGGATGACTTGGGTATGATATTACCAACTATAACCATATATTCGATAATTTACTAAATAAGGTGTTCTACTGCTTACGGTCAGACTTGTGAATGAAATAGGTATATATCAGAGAAAATACGAAAATATGAGTCGGTAAATTTTTGTAGTCAATATGACAATAAAGATAATATTTACTGTAAAATATTTTATTAATTTATTTCCATTTTGTTTAATGCCGCCCTACGTATGTAGTACGTTTACGTACGTAGTAACAAAAAAATTACAATATTATATAAGTATTTAAGAAATAAAAATAAAAATTTATTTGTGTTGTATTCAGAGTGACACAATCTATAGACTGGTTTTCGTATAAATCAAATGCCTTCGCTTATTTCAACGGCGAGTGCCAAAAATGTACAGAATGTCCAAACTTTTAATGTAGGAATCACGTTGTGTGAGTGACAGAGAATTACGTCTTACATCCAAAATTTAAAAGTCTGATTCACCGGAGACACTTCCATTCGA